AGTGCATACGTTATTTTGACATCTATAACAATGTTAAAATAACGTTGTCCTTCAAGATCTCAGCCTCCCGCTGCTTGATCCTAAACGTGCACGTAGCATTCGTCACGTCGTCTAATGTTATAGAATAGCCTTGATTTTTTTTTCTCTCTTACTTCATCCAATTCTCTCTTTCCTCCTTTTCTGTATGTTTACTGGGTGTTCGCGTTTTTTTTCATCATTATTACATGCCGATGACGACAGACAGTATAGACAACAAACATACATCGTGCCTCTCTGCGTTGGTTCGCGCGCATCATCAACAAAAAGAAAAAACAGAATATAGTAGCGAAACGAATCGTTGGAAGAAGAAGAATCTATTACAATTAGTCAATACGTATATAACTAACATCATCGTCATCATATATTCATGACTTTTCTCATAAAAAAATAAATGATAACAAATTCTAATTGAAAAAAAAAGAAATCGTATTTTCCATATAATTTTTTAAAATTAATATTCAATTTTTTTTTGTTTATACGTACAGTAATAATACAAGTCATTTGTAATGTATAATAAACAATTATATAATAAAGCCAATGGGTTAGTTCAATATTTTCAGTTTCATGGACAGCATCACCACTAACTGCCATTGTAATCATGTCTTTATATTTATTTGCTTTTCGATCAAACTGTTTTTTTTTAAGTCAATTATAGTTGTTGAAGATACTCTTAAAAGAATGTACTTTATTGTACATTGAAATATGCAATATATATAAAACAAAAATAGTGTAAAAAAATCGAGAAGTAAAGTTCAACGCGTATATATGGACTTTAATACAAATGAAAGAGGAAAGACATGAAGATGAAGACGAAGAAAAAAAGAAAGAAAAAAGAAGAAAAAAGAACGAGAATGCTAACGCTTTTCTCGACGATGTGTCGTTTGTTGATTTGAATCGGAGGGTATGATGAGTAAAGAAATAAAATCAAATCGAAAAGTAAAAATCAAATGAAATATAAATGACCGTCACAAAATATAATATTGAAATATGCGTACATATGCTTTAGTCATTGAAAGTTATATTAGTGATCATCGGGTAGAGAGAGGAGTATGCCTATGTGTATGACATACAAATATTTGAAATCAAGATATGATTAGAAACTAGTGAGTGAGAACGAATGAAGATAGAACAATGAGTAAGATGTATAACTCGATACAAAGCTGATCGCGATATAGGTGAGATAATATGCAATATATATATATATATATATACACAACGACTACACGGGTTTCGCACATTACTTTGTAAGAAAAAGAAAAAAAGAAGAAGAAATATATGTACCATATATTTCTTTTTCTTCGCCATGTTAATAATATTCGATAGTAGGCGACATTTCTTCTTCCGGGAAGTACATATATGCCTATATAAGTATACAATACTAATATAGTAAATGTTTTTTTTATGAGTATTATATATGAATAAAATTTAATTCAATTTTTCAGCTTAATTAAATTTCTTTCGTTTGACATTGAGAATATTTTTAACATCATATTACCTGTTCATTCAATTGTACAGAAAAAAAATTTCATGTTCATTAATCGAAACTATTGTTATTCAATTTTATAATTCATTGATCAGTATAATCGATTTTATATGATATGTAAACATGTAATATTTGAAGAAAACTCAAAACAATTTCGTTTATGCGCTTTTCTGTTTTCATTTTCATTATAAATTTCTTTGAAATAGAAAATATTACCTTTATTTGATTCTTGAATTCGACCAGCTGAGATGTCAAACGTGATGATGACAAAAGAGCACATCTGTATTACCATCTTTTCTCGTCACATGTTAAAGAGAGAAGAAGGGGAAAGGAAAAGGTTTCATTTTCTCCGAGCCGTATAGAATATGTATATGTGTGCGTACGCTTGCGCACGCTCTTTCGCATACGGAGGACAACGACGAAATCGCAAATAGAGTCTATCTTATTCTCCCTCTTTCTCACTCTCTTCTTCTCGTCCCATCTAATGCCTGGCTAAACAAGAACTGATCTATTCCTTTCTCTCTCCCTCTTTCTATCTCAATCTCGAAACGACAACAATGTACACAAACAACAACAACAGCAGATGATTTGCGAAAAGAAGTAGAAGAAACCAGTAAATTAATTGTTTATATATACATATATGTGATGTAATGATGTAATAATAACCAAACTTTTTTTGATTTGGTTTGGTTTTTAACCGCAAGGTAAAATATTGTATGATTGTTATGAAACAAATGAAGATGGATATATGTATTCTACATATATAAATATATATATTGAATCATGAAGGACATTTTTTTTGTTTCAGTTATTAAATTTTTATTCATAGTTATATGAAGGGCACTTTACACGATGAAAGAGTTACAGATTATACTAAATAATGATTGTCTATTATTGAAAAGAAGAAGAATTGTTTAATCACAGTCTACGTAATTATAAATGTGTGAGACACTCATTTGCTATAGATAAATACAGTGTTGTATACACAATCAAAAATATGATTGTTTGCTATTGTCTTTTCTCATCATCTGGATAAATTGCTTTATTATCCCTGGTGAATCTTGCAAGCTCTTCATCAATTTGAGTAGAGAAAAAGAAATTGATTCAATATGAAGTTTCATAATTATTTAAAACGTCACATGAATTATATCGATTGATTTCTATGGTATTCTTCTTTTGCATTAAATTTAAATATCAAAGTATAGATTTCGTTTCTTTTTTGGAAGGTTTCATTTGAATTCAAGAACAAAATACATATTTGATTGAATTCTTTGTTCTAATTTCAACTTATTGAATAACCGATCGACTTTGATTGTATGACATCTATAAATATACTATGATTTCAAATTGAATATATCATTACAAACAAACTGATCTTTTAATAGTATAAAATTGTTTGTTTAACAAAGATCAATATTGACAATTTCATTAATCTGTTTTCAACGAATTGTATCCGTAACTAAGCTATATATATATTCTTTCTTTTAAATTTTCATTTCAATACAATGCTTTTTAATCTTTTTCTTCTACTTTGTATTTTTACTAGAATTCATTCGAAATTACTTACTTATACATTATATCAAACAGATGATATATGTCAATATAATTGGAAAGGATCAATTTGTTTACCGATTTTTTCTTTAAATGAAACAGATGAACCATTATTATTTAAACTTGATATAAATAATCATAATCAATGTCCAACACAAACTCTTGTCTATATTCGTACTCAACAATGTATTTATTGTTCAAAAAATCTTCATGATATTCATTGTAATCATATTCGATTACGACGAATGATACCAGTAAATAAAGAACATACATATCGAAATCATATTGCTGTTATTAGTATTAGCCTTGCTGGAATGTTAATTATCGGTAGTCTATTTAGTTTATTTTTTATTAAACGATCTAACGCACATACAAATTTACTTGAATTATTCAATTCTCAACAAACATCTAATTCTAATATAAAATCATTAAATCATATAAAAGTACCTAAAACTATTAAAACAACTCCTAGGAATCAATTACAATTAACTATTCCAAAAACAATGAAATAATAATAACAACATTTCTGTTTTTGTCATTAAATTCGACAGAAAAAATTTATTTTTTTTATTTACTCTTGTTTACATATATTCGTTTCGCATAGAATTATGAAATAAAAAGCAATAAACATGGCCTTTTTTTTCTTTCATGAATATATCACAGAACAAACTGAATGTGCAATGTGAATACATAAAAACAAAAATGTGAGAAAAAACAAAAAAAAAGAGATCAAAGACTGGCACACAAATAATTATCTTCAATTCACTCTCTATCTTCATACATACAAACAAACAAACAAAAAAATGAAATGAAATGAAAACTAATAGAAACAAGTATTTTTCTCCGTTGGTATACAACATGACAAATAAGAAAAAAGCAAAACAAAAGAAATAGTTGTATAAAAAGAGAAACAAATTGTTTGAGCTGTTGAAAAATTCTTTGCCGTTTCTTTTGCTTATTTAACGACGATGTTCACGTGATTTTGATCGATGTCGAGATGAAGCTTTATGACGATAATCATTTTGATAACGATGATTCCTATGAGATTTACCACCGTTATCATTAGTTTGATAAGCATTTGCTGCTGTCGTATGACGAAGAAATGCATTAATTTCTTGCTCATACTAATAAAAAAAATTCAATAAAAAAAGATATATACACATTTATTCTAAAAATTACATCTGTTGTATTTCGAGAACGAGATGATATGGAAGATGTTGGTTGAGGAAGATACATATCCATTGGAGTTTCATATCCACCATGCATTGATAATGGTAAATTACGATGATCATATGCCATTGAATAGAAAGCACTTGGATCATAAGCCATAGGAGGATAACCCTAAGAAAATTGAAATTATCATTTGACTCAGTGTTTTATCTAGCTTTTTTCGTCCGAGGGTGCGAAATTAACTGTCGGGAGGGCAAAAATCTATCTTCTGGGGGGGGGGGGGGGGGGGGGCCCCCCTCGGGGGGGGAAAAAACCCCCGCCCCCCCCCCCCCCGCTGGATAAATCACTGATTTGACTCATTAGATTTCATAAACAAAACTTACACCAGGTGGAAACATTCCTCCACCAAATCCAGCATATTGAGAATGACTTGCAAGTAAATGACTCATATATTCTTCATATGTCTAAATAAAAATATAAGTTACGAAAAACAGTTTTATCTTTATATTACCCCAGTACTAATAATTTTTGCCATCGTTTTATTAACATTGTTATAGGATGGTTGATCACCATTACGATGTGTATGTTTTCGATTTGAATTATTTTTAGCACCATGGCTTGAATTGGATGATCCTAATGAAAGATAAGAAAACTCTTGATTTATTCAAATAATTAAGTTTCAGTTATGACCTTGTGCTCAAGGATTTAATAGATTATAATAAAACAATAAGAAAATGAATCATACCTGATCGTCGTCGTCGTTTTCGTTGTAAGTCATTATTTGTACGATCTCGACTTCTTGATTGAGGACGTCTAAATTAATATTAACAAAAAAAAGTCTCTATTACAATCATTAATCTCTTCAAATGATATTTATTATTATTATTATGTTTATCTAAACATGCATATTAAATCACTTATTTATCTTTTCAATATATATATATCTATCTACTTCTCAATTTTCTTAATAAAAATAATGGACGGGGAGAAAAGCAAAAAGTATTTCTTGTTGTCTTATAAAAAATGACGGTATGTATATATATCAGTCTGTTAAACAGACAGAGTTCTTTTTCTTTTAAAATAATGAATGAAAGTTCTTCGATGAATAGACATGTAAAATGCTGTGCTTTTATATATCCTTTCTTTTCTTTTTTTAAAGTTCATTAGATAAAACGCCGGCTTCATATTGTGTTGTAATATTCGTATGTTATACATGACCAATGTAATGTGTTTCGCAAAAAAGAAAGGATACCTCTATTAACCAACACCTTTTTTAAAAGTTCTATTAGTAAAGAATATAATCGCCAAATTCGTAAGACGAATATTAATTAGATAAAGAGTCACGTCTGACCTATGACGATCATAATTTGTCGATGGTTGATGTTGATAACGATTTGATGAACGACGAGATGAATTATTCGACGATGATAATGGTCGATGTTTAGTTTTCGAGGGTGAACGACGATTATGATCTTTGGATACTTGACGTTTTATTATTAATGTTGTTGATGATGACGATGATGACGAATCTAATGGTAATGATGAAGAAATATTTGTCGGTAATGGTGAACGTGATTGTGATCGAGATGAATAACGTTTTTTATTATTTTTAGCTTTTGTTGCTATGGACATTATATCAATAGCTGGATCAGACGGAAATAAACGACATAAAGCTTCAGCACATCGTGGTTCAATTTCCTTTTTAAAATATAAAAAAGAAAAATTATTATTTAAAATTAAATTATATATATATAAATATAATTCTTTATATAACAATTTGACTACCTGACCATCACGTCCTATTTTAACCGGTTTGTTCTCATTCCATGAATTGAACAAATGTAATGTTTTACTAAATGGTAAACTTCGACTATACAAAAAAAAGTAAATATAAATTGTTATTATTAATACAAAAATTACCGAGTAATCCAGTCAATATAAATAACACCTGAAAAAGCTCGATTATTCATGCCTGGTGGTAAAATCCAATTGACAGGTTGACTATCATGACGAGCTTCACATGACATACGAGCAAAACCTTGAAATGCTTTACTTTCAGCTACAGAAAAGATTAAAATAACGTTACGATGATCCTAAATAAAATACATAAAGATTATTTTCTTTTGTTAATATATATCTACTCGAAAAGCTCGATTTAATTTAATTTCATTAGTTGGTGGTGTTGACCATACGCCCTATTAGAAAAAATGTCAAGATTATATTCAAAATAAATAAATATTTTATTACTTTAGATTTAGCTAGTGAAATATTTTCTTCATTACCACTTTTAATTAAATAATAAACAGCATCACTAAATATATGGTGAAGTGTAGCAGGTTCTGCAGGATCTAAAATTAATTTAATCAAAACTAAAATAAATCATTCTTAAAAAAGCTTTACCAGTTGTTGCTGTTGTTGTTGTTGGAATTGTTTGTTCATGAACTGGTTGAGCCATTTCATTTTTCACTGTTATCATAAGTGTTGGTACACCCGATGATTTTCGTTGGTCATTTTCAGTGGACTCATTTTCTTGTTTTATTGTACCACTTGAAAGTTCCATTTGAATGAAATCTGGATCATTATCAATTACATCTTCATTGGAATCTATTTATCAAAAAAAACAATATTTTATACTATATTTCATATTAATAAATTTAAAAAAAAAAAAGAAATGTTTTTTTTCTAATGTCAGTAGTTGGTTAGATGTGGTTTAGTTACTAAGAAAGAACTACCGTGTATAACAGAGTGATGATTGGAACTGATGGTACTGCTACTACTCGTAACACTGGATGAAGATGAAGAGGAAGAAAGTCTTTCAGCTTTTCGACGTTCACCGTTATCATTTGAATCATTTCTTGTATCATCACTGAAAGTAGCTTCAATTGTACTTGAACAATTATTATCAATTATTATTCGAGAGTCTGATTTATTAAGTGATGGATTAATATCTGTTGGTTCTATAATAGCAATATCATCATCATCATCATCATCGTCGTCGGCAATATTATGAACATTATTAATATTATTATTGTGATCTTGTTCTTCGTATATCTAATTAAATAATAAATATTAAAAATTCAATATAAGCACATGTTTTCTCTAACTTACTAGTTGTTCTTCAATAGATACATGTCGAATATGTTTCGATTCTAAAAATAATAATTGAAATTATTATCATATTCATCAATCAATCAATTTCTAAACATTCTGTTTTATCTTCTCGAACTTTTATTATAAGTATCAATATCTTATCAATGGTGCCTATTTAGTTTGGATAATAAACTAATGTAAATACTTTTTATCATAGTTAGATTGAAGAGAACTACAAAATTTTTGAATATTAATCGATGGACATGTTACATCTTGGTTGTCATATGTTACATATGCAATTTTGATTATATAATAAATTGTACATAGCAACGGTTGTCTCGCTAATAAATGACAGGTAGAAATGAAGCAAGCGCAGACGAATTGATCTTATCTCATCATAGTTGTTATACGCAAAACATTGAATAAAGAAGAAAGTTTCGCTTTTTTCTCAGTAAAAATATACACAATTAGAACTAAAATACTTTTCAAACATCAAAACACTTCTCAAAAGATCTTTTGTATCGTTCATATTCAACAAAACTAATGTAAATAATTCTGACTAGTTCGAAATTCATCGAGCAATCGAGAATATACGAACTTTACTCGGAAAAATATTTCTCAATTTGTTCTTAATTGATAAAATATACATACTTGATGTTGATGAAAAATCATCTGCATCACTTTCTGCACAAACAAGATCGAGTTCAACTAGATAAAAAGAAATTTAATGACGTATAATACACAGAAGATCTATCAAAACTTACCACCTCCAGACATCTATTTAGGTATATAGATTTTAATAAAATATCGATTGGAAAGAAAGTAAAAGGAAAGAACAAAATAACCATATTTATTTTCGATTTTAAAAGCCTCTACACTCACCTATATAACACACTTATGCACTTACAAAAATTCATATTAATTAGATTTCGATTTATTACTTCTTAACATGAAATATTTTAGTAAATTATATTATTTCTTAATTAAAATAATCAAGAATTCAAATGAAATTTTAGTTTAATAGAATGCAAACATTGATTGGTTAAAATATTTGCTTTAGATTTTTACATAAAATACTGATTTTCCATGTTTTTACTTTGCTTTGAATTTTTTTAGATCGTAAGAAAGATCTTGATCTTTATTAACAACAAAAAAACATGGGTGTAAGAATTTATTAATATTCATCATTCGAAATATTTTTATTTTTCAAAAAATATTTTTAGTATCGTGGTATTCGTAAACATTTAAAACGACTTCATGCACCAAAACATTGGATGCTTGATAAATTGGGTGGTACATTTGCACCAAAACCATCCGCTGGTCCACATAAAACACGTGAATGTTTACCATTGATTATCTTCTTACGTAATCGATTGAAATATGCATTAACATATGTGGAAGCCAGAAAAATCTGTAAACAACGTCTTATTCAAATCGATGGACGTGTACGAACAGATTTTCTTTTTCCAGCTGGTTTTATGGGTTTGTTCTTATATTTAAATAAAATAGGCATTTTACTAATTAAAATAATTTTTTTAATAGATGTTATCACTATTGAAAAAACAGGCGAACATTTTCGTTTGATTTATGACGTTAAAGGTCGATTCATTGTTCATCGTATTACCGCTGAAGAAGCTAAAGTAAGTGTTTAACATGATATTTGAATATTGTCTTACTGTTATGGAATATGTTTCAATACGAGTATAACTAATTAGAATATTATAATTCTTTATTAAAATTCAAAACAATATTTCTAATTTGATTTTTATTTAGTATAAATTATGTAAAGTCAAAGCATTATGTATGGGTCCAAAGAAAGTACCATATTTACTCACACATGATGCACGAACAATTCGTTATCCTGATCCACATATTAAAGCAAATGATACCATCCGAATTGATATTGCTACTGGAAAAATTCTCGAGAGCATTAAATTTGATACAGGTATTTTGTAAAATTTAATTTTCGTTTATAATATATATATATCATTTTCGTATTTAGGTAATATTGTTATGATTACTGGTGGACACAATTTGGGTCGTGTTGGTATCATTCAATCACGTGAACGTCATCCAGGTTCATTTGATATTGTTCATGTTAAAGATGCAAATGGACATACATTCGCTACTCGGTATAGAAAATCTAAGAAATGATTTGTTTTTTTTTAACATTTTGTTCATTTTACTTTAGTTTGGCTTATGTATTTATCATTGGTAAAGGTCAAAAATCTTGGGTATCATTACCAAGCAGCAAAGGTTTACGTTTATCAGTTGCAGAAGAACGTGATCGACGGCTCGCCGGCAAAACTAATTAAATATCAACAGTATTCTAACATCATACAAGACAAATTAGAAAGACCAAACAAAATATGATGTTTTTCGTTTGTTGTTTGTGTTCTATACTAGATGATTTCTGCCGTTGATAAATGAATAATAAAAAGAACAGACCGACAAAATTCTTTCAATTCTTTTTACAAAAATCATTTAAATATGAAATCATAATAGATTAGAAAACTAAATAATACTTTAATTTTGTTTATTAATAGTTACAGATCCAAATGAACATGAAAATATATCTTTTGACCTGATTGAAAGATTAATTAAATCATTGAATTTATATAGTGAAGTGTTAACTTATACATAAGTCAAATTCCGGAAAGCATACGACTTTCTAACCCTTTAAATAGCAGCGTACCTTATAAGGCACACTTCTTTAGAATTTAATAAATTCTGAATAAACCACGAATGTAAAACAATATCGAAGTGTACTTGTCACTGTGACATAGAGGACACTTCGATACGTACATCTATATGATACTCAGCACTTGAATAGGGCGAAACAATCAGTAAGCCTGACAGGTTTTTGGAACACAGCCTCTATATTCAAAAAAACTTCTTAGTCATTCCCGTAGGGGAGTATAGGTATGGATCGAAAATGACTTCAAAGGTTTTTTAAAAGGTTTCAATGGAAATATTTACAATACACAATACACATGTTAAATATAGCGTCTCAACAAAATTTCATCCATTGGCTGAGCCATGATACTGAAAGGGTTAAACTACAAAATCAATCGATGTTCGTTTTTGCAACTAGATAATAATCTCAAATATTGATATTGAGCGATAAGGTAGTTCCTAGGGAATAAAATACCTGAAACGATTGAATATTTTAAATATCATATTGAAAATCAGAAGCTATCAAACAGCAATGACCTAGATAGATTTATATACAAGATATAGAACAATATTGATTTGAACGTTCAAAATAATTTGATGCAAGCGATAAAAGTATGATATCTAGCTTTGATTGAAATGAAGAGAAAAAGACAATCAACTATTGTTTATAATACTTCTACACATTTTATCATATCTTATTTAGTTTTTTTCGATTCATCACTTTTATTTTGAAAAACATCGAAAATACCAAAGCGAAAGACTTTTGCAGCGTATAGAACATCAATAGATAATTGACAAAAACATCAATGTTGTGTAAATTTATGGTCAATAGTCAAGTCATGTAATCTTTACAGATAGCAGCTTGCGATAAATATAGACTTTTTAGATTAAGATAAATTCAAAGTTGTATATATCGTTTCATTGTACAGATCAATTTATGCAATACATCAAAACTTTTGTATATTGACAATGAATAAGCGTAGCGCTCGTTTATTTCACACCAGATGGTTATTAAACATTTTCTTCACTTTTATAAGTTAAACTCACACATCCATTGATCATTATTAGCATCCTAGACAAATTCTTTCTCATTATTTCATTCATCAATAAAACCAATTAAAAATTTGTCTTTTGAAAATCAAATAAGAAAGCAAATGGCATATTTTGCCAAGTAAATATCTGTTTCGGACAAATTACAATTTATCATTATACCTATACTGTGACATATGAGAAAAATTAAATACGTTTTGTCTAAATGCGCCGTAAAAAACAAGTCGTTTTCTCATGTTTTTGAATTCATCGTAACTTTCGAACATTAGGTCACTCATTGATCATTTTAAATATGATAATATATCAGTCAAATTTAAAGAACTTTGAATCATTCAAATCCATGATTGTCTAGACATATGAAAATAAATTTCTGTACACTTTCATAATGCGTTACTTTTCTTTGAACAAGACATGATAATGTGTAAATATATAAAAGCTTTCTCACATCAATAAAAGTAAAATTATGATTATTGTTTAAAAGTATTCTATGTAATGAAACTTGATTATTTTGCTCTTACATATCGATCGACATGAAGATGAAAGCTTGTTAATTTAATGCATTTACACTTTATTTCATTTATATTTTCGACAACAGAAATGTTTGATATTAATCACACAACAATTATTCTAAAGTAAAAATAAACATTAACCTTGATCGTTTCTGTCAATCGTACTAAAATAAAACAAATGTTATATATCATCTTATGATCATTGATATCCATTTCTAAGTTTAATGTTCATTGTCATTTTAACATCGAAACGATAATGATGACATAATATACAATATCATTGCAAGGTCAAGTTATATATATAAACAGTGAGTATTTAGAAACATTCTATTTTATTTCTCATTGCAATAGCTCCCGTTAAAAGTTCTCGGTTTTTATTTCACACATGTACAAACCACATGAGTTTTATGCGCATCATTCACGATAGTATTGCATCTATCCATATAGAAAATGAATGAGTACTGAAGGTAGCGGTGAGAACAAAAAAGAAAAAATTTTCTTCGCTTCATTGAGCATGACCATCGTATATACGAACTCATTGTGCGATGGTCAGTGTCTCCCCGGTACAATGACCAACAAATGTATATAAACGTGAGGTTGAAAAATGAAGATAAACGTTTTTTTGCGTGCGATAATCGATGGGGCGCATCTTACATAGACAAATATTTATGCAGGCACCTGTATACACGCATATATACATACATATACATACATATACTTAAAAATGAGACGAGTAGAAGAAAGAGACAAAACTCTCTCTCTCTCTCTTGCTCGCTCTTTGTCTATCTATAGAACAAAGAACAAAAATTCTTTACTGTTCATTTACGTGTGACCGTTCAATATATTTCTATCGTTCTTTCTTTTATACGATATTTTTTTTTTTCGATTTTTTTTCCTCATTTATTCAAAGTTAGTGAAGCAATTATTAGAACAAACAATTCAATCGTATGTCTCGACGTTCTCATCTATGTCACATCTACACACTTCGATGAATTAAAATTAGTGATAAATAAGAAACTTATACATAGAAGTTTATGCGGAGCGGCTTACCCCCATTTTATCACTCAATAATTATGAATATTTTTGTTATTATTATCGTCAACTGAAATTGCGCGAAAGATCTCTGCCGTATTCAAAGAAAATTCTTTAAAAATATATTTTAAAGGTAAACAACATATTCTTATTTTATAAAATGTATCAATGTATAATACCACCACGAATATTTCTTGCTGTTGGCGTTGGCCTTCTTATCGTTAGTCTTGTACTTGGTTGGATATCATTTTCAGTACCGGATTGGTTACAGTTTCATGAACGTATTAGTTCAAAAAATCTTACGACGATAGAAAATAATTTGGATGATGATACTCGAATTGAATTTAAAAAATTTGGTCTTTGGTATAAATGTACTTTTTCAACGGAAACAAATGATTTTCTTTGTTTACTATGGAATAAAGATGCACCAAGTAAAATTTTATTTGAAATTCTTTTATATATTTATTAATTTATTAAAAGGTTTTGTTCGAGTTGCTCAAGTACTTATACCATTTGGTTTATCATTAGGATGTCTTTCACTGTTAGCGGCTGTTATTGGTTTTATGTCGAGAAGGACTTTTGTAACTGCTGTATTGTTTTCAGCATTATTTGCTTTCTTAAGTTGTAAGTATAGACAAATTTTTGCCTTTTAATAAAAATGTGTGAAAATATTAATCGAAATAAGATAAAAGTTGATTAAATTTTGAATAAGAAATGAAATATCGATCATTATAATTTCGTTTTATTTTTTTAATTCGATTTTATTTCGAAGAAGTATATTTAAAAACGATCTATTATTTTGAAATATATATATAAATGTCATTCGTAATCAAAAATCGATTGAAGTTATTATTATGGATTTGATACGATATTTTTGAGATCTATTAAAATAAATAAAACTCCTTCTTTTTTTTCGTTCGCTCTACATACATATACATACATATACATATATATATGTATACGTAACTATTGCAATAAATCAAACAATGATTGCATCTAGAATATATAGATATAAAAGCGATGACTCTAGATAAGAAGTAGTTAATTTTAGTTGTGTTGATTGATGAAATAAAACTAACGTGACGTGATTGAACCCCAAAGGTAGTATTGCTTTATATCGAAGGCAATATATATGTATAGGACTGTTGGCAATCGAAGTCGGGAGATTTCGAAGAATATTTATAGAAAATGATTCAATATTTTATGATAGACCAAGATTTTTATTAGGATTGTGAAATAGTAAAGTTATATAAGATCAAAAGTAAAAATAGAGATTTATTTAAATAGAGAAAAATATTCGTATTTACTATCTCATCTTTTTCTCGATAAAAAATGAAAACTGGATCATTTTATAGTAAACGAAGTGTTTCGGAAATATTTATTAGATGCATTTCTGTTTGCCTGTTCAGAATAAATATTCTTCTTCTACCTTGACAGGGGCGTAGCGACGAGGGGGCGCGTGGGGTGTCACGCTCCTCATGCCTTGGAAAGTTTTTGTTTTTTTTTGGTCAATAAAATCAAAAACATGGGTTTTTACGTGTTTTTTGGTGTTAGATTTAAGCAAAAAGAGTGTTGCGCCCCCTGCCTTTAGAACTTGAACTACTAAACTTTTGCGCCCCCCCCCTACCTTGGAGACCTCGCTACGCTCCTGTGTCTTGATGATATAATAGTTTATAGTCAATGAAATAAATATATTCATATAGGAAGTGTCTCTTTTTTTCTGTTGTTTATGAACATGAGACCTTTCGATTTTTAATTTATTTATTTTAGTTATATTTACAACAATTGGTATGACTGTATTTGCAACAGAATCAATAGTTTATGTTGAACGTTTACGTTTAAATAATAATGATAACCCTCGCCGTTGGGGCATGTGGCTAATTACTCCGAATATTGTTTTATCCTTTCTTGCTTCTCTTTGTTTTATTTTTGCTTCAATATTTAATTGGTGTGATTATCGTAGTATGCAAGTTACAGGAATTCTTAGTCATTCAGTGGATAAATATGCTGGAAGTGTTTTTAAAGCACCATCTGAAAGGTATTTCGAAATTATTTTCAGATAAAATGCAATCTCTTTTGTTTTTGATTTTTCTAAGTAGTAACATGACATCAGGATTAAAAAAGCAACAACAACAGTATCTTCATCCACAACATTTACCTGGTCATGATTATCCAAATACTTGTTATCAAATAAATGGTACAAATAATAATAATAATCAAAATCCATTAGGTTATCCTCCACCACCAAGTTACGGTGCTCCAATACAACAAAATGGAAGTAATGGTGCATATAATCCAACATTTCAAAATTCTGCAGGATTATTTGCATATTCAAGACCATCAAGTCCAATATATCCACATTCAAATGTAAGTTATAAATAATAAAAAAGAATTTTATGTTTTAGTCTAAACTTTTCGAAATATTTGTAGTCTGATCCTTATCATCATCGACATTTAATGACTGAAGTAAGTTCTTAACATATATTCATATAATATATATGTATTAAAATTGTGATTTTAATAGAGTTCTGAAATGGATGAATTACCTCATATGAGTCGTTCACGTCGTCGTTCTCGTCATCGTTCAAGTTATCGATCAAGATCTCATAGTCCACGCGATAATACATCTGGTAAAATTAATGCCCAAGAACATAATAATACAAAGCAACCTCAATTTATTCCAATACCTGTTCCTTATTATCAACCTCAAATGCAAGCACCAACTCAACAATCAACACAACCAATAATACAAACACCTCATACACCATCAAACAATCCAAGTAACAATAATAATAATAATAACAATACCAATAAACAACCAATGACGTATGTTATTCAACAACCATTAAAACAACAATTTGTTGAAGAAATCATTCAATCAGCAGTAATATTTAAAAGAAGAAAAAAAAAATCTTATTCTATTTTTTATTTATTTAGCCAAAAGCAACTAATATGTTAACATATGGTTCTGGACAACCATCACTAGTAGTTTCAAATCCAACTCAACCTGTGTATACAATTGCTTATCGTGCAAATAATGGTGGCAGTGTACTATCAAATATATTAACCGGACCAGCAGCAAGTACATATGTTACAGCAACAAGAAATCAATTTGCAGCAAATCATTCACCACCATGTGATTCTGATAATAGTGTTAAAGACTATCGAGTTTTGCCAAGACGACATCATTCCAAAAAGGTTTTGTATACAAACATATTCAATGATATCTCTATATGTATATATAATTTCATATTTTAGCTTAATACTAATGAAGCATGGACATGGCGTAAACTGTGATAGAATTTTTGGCAATAAAACAAAACATATACATAAATAATATTGAAAAAAATGTTATTTATTCCTTTATCTTGTCCGAACTACAATACTTTTAATTGAGAGTAATGCTTTTTTATAATTGTTCTTATTTCAATACGTTTTTTTTTTTCGTTTTTATCTTTTTTTTTGGTTTGTTTTATTTGTGTTCTTTCGTTATATTGTGAATACTTTCATTGTGGTTTGTCTGTTTCATATAAGAAGTTATCTTCTTTGATTTGTTCTGAAAGTTCTCGTCGTTTATTATTTCTTTCTCTTTGTGCAAATTATTGCAGAATAGATAAATATATACATGCATACATGGAAAAAGAAATACGACACCCATGCCTGTTACATATTCTGATAAACGTAGGATGATGATCATTAACCCCATTTTTCTCGAAGAAATGATGTAATAAACAGGCAAGAATTCTCTATTTTTCTTGTTCTATAGATTCGTCTTCTGCTTTCAACAGATATATATGTGCTAGAGAGACAGAGAGGAAGAAAAAGATATAATGGTATCATAAGGAAGAAAAAGAGAATATAAAAAGGTTGTTTGTTGCTATAACTATAATTTTTTTTCTCTTTCCTATATTATATGGACAAGATTGTAGTAACTGTACTTATATAACTATCCTTTGTAAGTACAAACTTACTGGATACTTCTTATTAATTTACTAGTACCCTCGAATTGTTGCGGTTATATCCTTATATATATATATAATATATAGACATAGATTTATTACACAAACAAACTTCTTTAAAACTGCAAATGTATACGAATCCTGTCCTATTCGCTCGAATGCTTATTAACAATCGACGTTTGTGGATACCATGTATGATTCTTTGTGGTCTATGTGCTGCTACTCTTGTACTATATCAGTCAGACAATAATAGACATAATGTCGAAACATATATTTCTAGTCAAACATCACAAGATTTTTCATTTTCATCTGCAAATTCATTAACATATGACGATGTCAAATTATTACTAGATCAATTATTTGATTCTCAAATGTCACTTAGTGGTGTCCAATCTATATGGAATAAACTTATAGAAGTTTGGCGTGGAATATTAACAAAATTTGTACATGATGCTTGTGATTTATGTCATCATAATGGTTCTTATTGTTATGATTCTATTGATATAACACGTTATGTACATTATATCAATGAATCATTTTATCCTATTAATGAAATAAAACGTCCAGTTGGTATGGGTCTATATTATCATTTTGATTTAAAAACTTTACGTTCAGTTAATAATTCAATCTTACCAACAGATGTTTCACCATGTGATTATTTTCATATGTTACAATTAATGATCAATGTTCAACTTATATTACATCAAGCACAAATTAAATATTTTCTTACTAAAGGTACATTAATTGGTGTTCTTCGTCATCATGATGTTATACCATGGGATACAGATATTGATTTATTTATTCCACAATCGGCTACAAATAAAATTCTTACATCATTTCGTCAATTAGAGATACCCGTGATTAAAGGTGTATCAACAACAACAACAACCACAACAACCGAAAGTAGCGGAATAAGATTATCTAAAGAGTAAAGTTTTTCTTCTTTAATATTATTTAAATAATTCTTTTTTATTTAATTTTTAGTCGACCATCATTTCATAAAGATTTAGTTGTATATCGTTTTAAAAATATTTATAAAGTTACATCCTATAAAATATTTTCACTTCGTTCACCCATTGTTAATCGTACGAATTATCGTTGGCCTAAAATTGATATATTTCCTTATGAAGAAAATGCAACGCATATCTATGCATATCCAAAACATCAACATAATCTTGGTACAATGTATTATTTAGCTAAAACTAATGTTGATCCAGTATATTTACGTGTATTAGGTCCATTACTTATACCTAGTCCACGTCATCCACGTTTATCACTTAAATCAATGGTTCGATTAGGTCGTTCAAGTGTATTTTTTGCTTGTGAAGGTAATACGTTTTTACATCGTTATAATCGTGGACCAACAGATAATTGGCGTGTACCATGTAAAGAATTACATAAAACATATCCATTTGTTAAAAGTGAACGTAATGCAACACATAGTTTATGTTTTGAAGAACTTAAATATCCTCAATCAAATAGAAATTTAAGTTTATATAAATATCGTTGCGAAGAAGATTTACCAAGAACGTTATAGTAATTATTATTTTCTTGTTCTTTTTTCTTGTTATGTGTTCGTTATTTATATCGCTCAATTTTTATATTCAATAATAGATATTAGTTAATACACAAAGAAAATTTTCATCATGATTATAATTCATTCAATAAGCAATAATAGATTAAATATAGAAAACAACTCCAATCAAATATACTCATTTGGTAAATGAATGAAAAAGCGTTTCATCTTCATTGTTTTTTTTAATTTTGAATGACATGTACCATACATTTGATTAATGTTCTTATGATCAGATTACTTTATTTACGTTCAACCGTTATATTTATAATTATCGTCTAGTCATCCTATTTGAATGATATAGGTAATTGCGTATGATATCTAACATATTAAAAATATCAATCAAACTATTTTGAATATGTTGACAGTAGTAGACTTTAATTCTCTAATTTCGAATATCAAAAAATAAAACATATACACTTTTATCGAAAACGTCCGATGTCTCAATCATTAATCAAATATAATACATAATTATAGGCAATGTTTTTTTTTATCTATTCTTATGTCCTATTAAACAAAAGATTTTATCTTAATATCACTATGTAATTTTTAATTAATGTCTAATGTTTGTTTGTTCTTCAAGATTTTCAAAAGAATAAACAAATGCTAATGTAATTCATATCATGGAGAACTAAACGAGAAATACTTCACTTGTATTAACAGCAGAATAGTCGAGAATTCATTAAATACTAACGGAAACTAAAATGGTATATATATATATATATATAAATGCCAAACCAACAAATCATGCAGTTAGTTTACATTATCAACATTTTATTGTATGATAATTCGTTTTTTTTCTATGATTTGATATATAAACAATAGATTAGTTATAACATTCACGAATTTTTGTTTACTTGTAAAGGTTTTCTTTGAATTAAAAGGCAAAGTATTTTCTGTGATCTATATCGATATTTATATGCAGAGCCCGCGCGAAGGGTCTAAGGTTGGGGCGGTGTAACGGGTTTTGAAAGAGCGTAAAAATTTGGGGGGGGGGGGGGGGGAAAAGGGGATTTAGAGCAAAATTTGCTTAAAAAAAAAAAAAATTTGTCCCAAATCAGCTCCCGTCGTTGAAAAAAAAACAAAAATTTTCAAGTATTGGGGAGATGTACACTCCCCCCCCCCGCTCGTGCGGGTGTTGTTTATATGTATTGTAGGCATACGTAAACCTCTTCATGGTTCGATCAAGTATAATTATTTATATCAGTCGCGGACTTCTATAAAAAAAGCAAAGCAAAATATCAGATTAGAATCGATTGTTTTAGCGTATTTTGTTATTATCTCGAATAAAATCTTGACAAAAAGACGTCTCATCATCAATAATATTAAATCGATGTATTCATCCTTACTTATGCTTATTTATCTTGGTGTATATACAATTCAAGATACTAGAAAAAAAATATTTCAGTACACTTTCAAATTCAAACGATGGTACATCATTATTGGAGGAATTCATCTAGAATAATACTTATATTAATCATATACATCCTATATTTAAAATATCTTGTCATATACAAAGACACATTTCATGAACAAAATGTAATATTGTTTTTATTCGTTTATTTGAGTTAGTTCGAAAGAAAACGGATACGATCACCACGAAAATACATATTAATATTGAGTTGCCATGGAAATGGACATTGTTTCAAATCAATATCAAGTTCATATGAACTTTGTGTTCGTTCATTTGTTAAACTAATTTTTTGTTCATCACAATTAATAAATAATTCTAATATATCATCTTGTTGAGCATCACTTATATATTGATTAAAACTAGCATGAAAACGACCATTTATATAAACTTGATTAGGTCCAGCCCAACCATATAATGATCGACTTTTAATTGAAAGTTGTTCCATTGGTATATCTTGTGATATAATCCCAATAAATATCCATTTTGATGAACAATATTCTTCAATTTTAAATCTAAGTCGATGTTTTCCATATGAATAATGATTTTTTCCACGTACTGTTGAATAATCATCCGATCCAACATGAATAGCAACTTGACCATTATCTTCTAGTTGAACATTACCAAGTATTCTTCCAAAACCTTCATCACATATTCCAACATTTATTTTTGAAATAAATGAAATATTATTATCACTATATTGAATATCAAATGTTGGTGGTTGATATATATCATTTTTTAATTTATTCAATTGATTTATCCACTCGTTTATATCCGTCTCAAAAAATTCATCTTCTTTACGTGCTTCATTTATTTGACATGCAACTTTAGTTAAACATTCAATTAATTTCGTTGAATGTTTTTCAATCATGTTTTCTAAATTTTTTCGAGCATCATTAGCTACTTGATAAATTTTCTCAATTGATTCACGTTCCCATTCTTCAATTTTTTCTTTCATCTGAATATAATATCGAGATTGTCCAGTTTCTTCATTGAATTTTTCTCGAAGTTGATCATAATCAAGTGTTAATTCATCAAGTTGTTTACCTAATTCTTGTCGATGTTCATTTGCATGACGCATACAAAAATCTTTTTCACATCCTCGACACATAAACAAAGCAGATGGTTTACCACATGTCGTACATGGTGTTTTTGGTTGTATTGTCGATGTCATTTGTTTATATAAAATGATTGTATTAGTATGTCAAGACGTTAAAAAAAACATATTTTTGATAAAAGAAAGAGCATGTGATTGCATATATTACATTTAATATGATTCAAAACAAATCCAGACATATTTTGTTTTTTTACCTAAGGTAATTTAGTTATGCAATAGATATTATCGAACGATCAGCACTCTTCGTACAAAGTAATATGTAATATACATCGAAAGCTTCTTTTTTTTGTATCGGACAGAATAAAATAATATAAATTAGAAGAATTAATGTTCAATAAGAAAAACAAAAAGCACTTATTTTATTTTATCAATTTATAATAAAAATGAATCAAAGAAAAAAAATAGATCATATCAAATCATATATTACTAAAAATGAAATCTGGTTTTTACATTGAAAAAAATTCACACAAGCGGACGATTTTATCCCAAGCACCTACAGCTAATTTATCTCGTTCGAAAAGATTCCAATCAAGTCCATAAATAAATTCTTTACAGATGCGTTCTGTATGTATGTTAATATTACTATTAGGAGAAGTTAATTGCCATATTTTCAATTGTCCATCATAACCAGTTGATGCTAAACGATCTCGTCGATGTGGATCAAATCTTACACGACGAATAGCAGCTTCATGTCCTTCGAATACAGTTATTGCACTTGTAATCATACGTATATCCCATAAACGAATACGATTATCACAAGCACCGGTTATTAATAAATGATCATCATATTTTGACCAATCAACAGAAAGAATTTCAGCAGGATGAGCACGAGGACTAATAATATTTGATGATTGTTTTATATCAAATAATCGTAATGAACAATCAGCTGAAACCGAAGCTATAAGACCTGACTGACGTGGATGCCATCGAGCTTCATATACGATAGATTCATGTCCCGTTAGAGTTGCTTGAAGATTTGGTGAACTTAAAATAATAATACTAATCATTCATATTTGAAAGTATGACTTCTTTTTTACCTATTAAAATTCCATAATTTAATCGTGCCATCAGCCGATGTACTTAGTAAAGCATCATTCGATCGACTTTCACTCCAATGAACACACCATACTTCACGATTATGTTCTCGTAAAGATACAAATGGTGAAGAATTTGTATGATTTAATTTCCATATAAGTATTGAACCATCTCCGCTACCAGTAACAATTAATGATGGATCAGTTTCAACAAAACTTACATCAAATAATGCATCAGACCAGTTAAATGATATTTGATTCTGATTGCCTATTAAATGAATTGTACTACGCCCACGAATACCAAAATTTTCACATGATATTATTGCTAATTGATTGATAAGATGTGGTGAATAACGAAGACTATAACATGCATCAGTTAAACGTGTCTGAGTAGTTATACGAAAAGTCATCTATAGAAACATAACGTTATCATTTATCTCTATCATAAAATTTCTTTTCTTTGGCAAACAGTTTTTCAAAATGTAATTACACTCAACTTGTTTTTTCTTTGTAAAAAGACAAAAGATATTCTTAGAAAAAACATCAGTCATTTTGATAATCTCGTTGATGAATAATTATATTATCTAATCCACAACTTTTTCATTAGTTTGACATACATTATTCATATTTATGTGTTTCATTTCAATAAAATATCAAGAAATGTGTATATATATATTTATCTAAAGAAATACCTTTTTTTTTATAGAATGAAGCAGTAATAATAATAATAATATTAGTATTAATAGTATTAGTAGTAATACAAAATAGAGCAATAAGGAGAAATAATCAAACTAGCACAGAACAAAACGATCTACATGTATAGGATCGTGCGAGCAACAATGAAACAAGTGTATCGACACATGAACGCGCACACCGGACCTCAGAAAACAATTCATTCTCGAATACAAAACAGATAAAGAACACCGAATAAGAGAGATAGAAAAAAAACGAACCGGAGAATGAATACCATAATGAGCGAATGATGAAATGAGAAAAAAAACAAAAAAAATGAAAAACGAAGAATGTGTTTTTTTGCTCTTTATACAAGATACACACATGGAAAGCAACAAATCGAGAAAAAAAACATGTAATGATTTTTTATAAATATATATATATGTTAACGAAAGAATCAATTTGTTTCAATATTTTGCTTTGTATCAAATATTTGTATTATTATAAAACCATTGATGATTTTGTTTGACTGATTTAATCTAATAGACAAAGAACAACAGAATGATATTAAATATATTGAAATATTAAAACATACGTTAAGTTGTGAATCGCCCAAAATTGTTATTGGACGAGGATCCTGCACCGGAAGATCCATTTCCACTGGAAATGTAGCGTAATCTAAAGAAAAAGAAGTTTTTTTAGAAATATTATTCGATATTTTTGTAAAAAATTAAATCAGTAATTTTATCCGTTCCCATTGGTAGTCCAAGAAAATAATGGAATACATACCCTGACCAAGTAATACGACGAGGAACGCCTGTTTAGATATATATTTTTATATTCAAAACAATTAAATATAATCTTAATACACTTCTAGTTTGTTTTTACATACCTGCTTGATTAGAAAAAAGTGGATCATCAATACAATCCATTGAACTTAATGCATCTGGTGTTCGATTGATACTATTACGACCTTAGAGAAGAAAAAAGCGATTATGTTGTAGAAAAAAGAATCTCTTTGAAATTACCTTCACCAACTCCACTATCTTCACTATTTTGCCGTTTATGATGGAAATAATCTTCAATTAATGCATCAATTGTCGCTTGATCAGGTGGTACATTATTCGCATTTGGATTTTGACTGAGCATTTTTCGTACATCAGCTTCCTAAAAGAAAATTTACTTTATTCTATTCATAATAAATAAATATTTGCAAACTTAAACAACAACAACACTATCACCAAGAGCAAAGAAAACAATATGTATACATATATATATATATAGATTTATATATATTTATAAATGTTAAAAGCGTGTATCATACCGTTAGTATCCTATTATTAGATGTTTTATCTGTTTATATGAATTAGTTATTAATAGATAGAAATATAGAAATAATTTTACCATTTGTTCTAATTGTTCTTTACGTTGTTGTAAAAGACGTTGTTCATTTAAAATTTCTGAAAGTTTATTTTTCAATGGATCGTGTTGTTGTGTAATAACTGGTGGAGAATTTGTTGTTAATTGAGCCATACTTGTTGTTGGTGAAAGTGTTGATGATGATAGTCTTTGTTGATGAAATGGAGATGATGATGATGATGCTGTTGGAATAGGTGATGTTGATGATTGTGGAATAGGTATTGATGTTGGTGGAATTGGTATATCAAGACGTTTAGTCATCATAGAACGATAATATTCTATAAGAAACAAAAATAGAATGCAGATCGAAAAGTAAACTATGTATTTACTTGGTCGTGGATCATCCCAACAAGTTTGTTTTAGATTATGATCAATAAAATAAATATTGCCTCGTGCATCACGCGATTGTTCATAACCATCGGGTAATGGAAGTGTGGTACAAAATGATTGAAATGCTGCATAATGATTGGGTCGTGGATCAATCCATGTTGTACATTGAGTTATATGACTAAAAGAAGAAAAGAAATGCCGTCATGTTCATTTAGTTAATGAATAAAATGATCATTAAATGAATAGAAACAGCTAATAAAAATCTTCAAGTCATTTTTAGTAAAATTCTCAATTGATGTTTTACAATAGTCTACTTTTCTCAATTATATGATCTTACTCAATATAATAACTTTGTCCATCAGGTGTTTGCCTCTCTTCCCAACCCTCAGGTAAAGGAAGTAGTGATACTTGAGAATTAATTTGTGATAATGTTGAATTTGTTGATGCCATTGTTGTACCTTGTCCATCGAGTACAGCTGTATCACTAACAGTTCTTAAATGTCCTTGTACATGATTATTATTTATAATTGTACGTAATAGAGTAGTTGATTGTGATGGAATATTTGGTAAACTAAGTTGATTTTTCGCATGTTGACGATGCACAGTTTGTTGTTGTTGTTGTTGTTGTTCATTGCTTATGGAATTAGATGATGTTGCAGCAGATTTAGATAGACTATTATTTGGTGATGATGATGGTGGTTGAAAAAATGATTCGGGTAAACCACGATCACGAAATGGTTTTGATAAGAGTTGTGCACGATATTGTGTTGGATTATTCACAACTGAAAAAAGTTCATTTAATGCTGATTGATTTTGATCTTCGACACGAATATACGATGAACGATTGCTGCTAGTCATCGATCACACGGTCAAGTCAAATATCACCGCGACTTTTTTCTATAAACTAAAATAACGAATGAAGAGGGGAAAAAAAACAATATACGTTAAGAAAAGCTATAATTTTTTTTGTTTCGAAATGTGTGAACATATAGGACGGAAATGACAGGTGAGAAAAGAAAAGAAGAATATATATCAATCTGTCATTAACTTATGCATATGTCCGTTGGTCAAGAACACCTTCTGTTCGTTTTTTTTTTCAAATGAATGATTGCTGCGCTCAGCTGGTCACACTTTTTTCATTCATTTCTATATGATTCGTAGAAAATATACAACCAATAGAAGAAGAGAATCATCAAAGAGGCTATTCCCTTAGAGACATGGATTGATATGTTTTCAGTATATGTAACTCAGTGAATATTTATTTAATTAATATTTTAGGAAAAGCATAAAAATGATGAGAAAAATTAATTAATCTATGTAGAGTAACAATACATTTAATCAAAGATGATTCATATGAAATCGAATATGAATAAGTATCGATTCCGTACAATTCCTTTCGATTAATTAATTATTATATTCTTACATATAACTATTTGCTTAGCGAAGGGAAACATTTCTTTTTTGTCACATGAATTTAGAATAGTTGTATGTTGAATGTAAATAAAGTTTGTTAGATTCTTGTAGATGGTGACTGTGAGTAGAAATATCGGATAGATCCGAGAGAGAATTTGCAGTAAATGGATATTATCGTTGAATAGTAATACAAAATTAATCTAATTTTTAGATTTTCAAGGTATTTATAGGAACAATTAAAAATGTCAACGGGTGATCTACTTAGTAGTACACTCAATTGGCCCGGAAAAGGCCTTTATGGACTTAAAAGTAGTGGTGAGTAAATTTATTTGAATGCTATAATCAATCATTTTAACATTCTTTTTTCTTATATTTAGTACTTCAAACAACTGAAAATGATCTTGTCAAACAAACCATTGTTTCAGATCATATGAGAAATCATTATCGACGATTACAAAGTGCAAAATGTATAAATATGAAATATAAAAAAGATTTTTCATACTATCTGATTTTTTTTTGAAAAATATATAGCTGCAGTTGATTCTAAACCACCAAAAGCAATGGTACTAGGCCAAAAATGTCGAGATCGAGCTCGAAAAGAATTAGCTCAATTGGTCTATACACAAAATCTACTTAGTCAATTTGCAGGTGGAAGTGCTCAAGCAACACCACGTGGTAGATCTGCACAAAGTGCACGTCGAACAGTTCAATCACAAGTAAAATTTATTTTTATAATCATATAAAATCATATATCTCTAATCAATTCTTAGCCAACAACATTTCGTGCACGTTCACGAAGTATTGAATCATCTCGTATGATGACTCGTTCTTTAAATATGAATGGATTATTGCAAAATCTAAATCAAAACAGTTCTAATGATGGTGATATTGCCAATAAATTACTTGGCGGGTAAATAAATCTTGTAAATTACTTTAAAAAAAAATTAAATTTACTATTTGATATAGTGGTGTTCTTTCTCAAGCATTAACAGCAATGACTGCTCTAGGAAAAATGACATCAACAGCGCGAAATAAAAGCAGTGCGGATGTTCTTGATAAACATCCAGATTTTTTTGTTCAACCAGAGGATGAATATAAACCACGTTTAGTTAAACGGGATGGAGATTCATCTTTACGAAATAATCGTAAATATTATAATCCACCAACAAAAGCCAAATCTCGTTCAAAAAATACTGAAAAACAAGAAACAAAAACAGAAGATAATGTACCAAACGAAAATAAACCAAAAGATGATGAACAATTAGCACTTAGGTTAGTTACTAAGGAGAGAAAAAGTATTTTATAAGAGATTGATATTTATTCTATCTATACAGTATTCGACGTGTTAGGCAAGTAAATATATATGTAGAAAGATCTGCATGATTGTATTATAAACATATATCTATCCGTAGATACTAACTTTTAAAATATATGAACTATATGTTTATTTATTTATAAATAATTTATTTTAGAGAACAATTGAATAGAAGTCTTGAACTTCGACATAATGTTGAAAAGAAAATCAAAAAAGCTAAAGCAACTACAGCGACAAACTCTGTATCACGGTAAATGACTATAAAATATTTTTATAATGACCGTATCTTCTTTAACAGAAAACAATCTGATGAAGCATTAAAACAATTTGGTTTATCGGAGTATGTCTAATAAAAAATATATGACTATTTCAAGATTTTTATATTTCGTTTACATGAATTTAATTTAGACAAGAACGTTTGGAGTATATGAAATTCATGCAAGAAATAACTGATGCAATTATACGTAAGAATTTAACTACGGAACCTGCAATTGAAAAATTATTTGAATTACATATTGATCGAAATGGAGGAAACCTTGATAAAGTATAATTAGATATTTTTATTTTTTTAAAATAATATTTATGATTAATATTTAGCGTCGTTTACGTGGTCTTTTAGAAGCATTAAAAGAAGATCTGGGTGTTCGAACATCTCGAAGTAAATTTTTTTTATACAAATAAACTTTTTCTATTCTACTTTTTTATGTATTTATAGAGATTGATACTTATGCTTCAGTCCATAAAGCTACTACTTTTGATCGAGAACCACTTCCACCACAAAAATCTGCTACAACAAGAGAAGATTCGTTAATTTTAACTCCTAAAACGAGTGATAGACGAGGTTCAGCTTATGATCTCGATGCTCCATTACCTTGGCAATCTAATCGTGATGATTTTGATAAACAACCAACGATAACACCACGTAAAACTCATGAATCAAAACCAAAAAATTTCAATGATGATCATCTATTTTCTCCACCATCGACAGCTATAAAACCTAAACCACGCTTATCACTTCACACACAAATTGAAGATCATGAACAATCCAATGATATTCCACATACAACAACGACTGAACATGAATCGACTATTCCAATGAATTTCAATGCAACCGTTCGAAAACCTATAACTGACTTACATAATCTTAATTGGTTGACGGATACACCATCAGCTAAAACAACCATCGAAAAAGATTCATTAGATAATGGTGAAGAACATCATCATCAGCATCATGAAAAACTAGAAGCAGCTGATGAACAACGAAGTCCATCACCTCAACAACAACACCATCGTTCAGCATTCGAAACGTATGGTAGTAATGATTTTGAAGACAATGATAATGATACAGACGTTTCCGAACAATAAAATTCAAAGAATATTGATTGATAGAACAAAAACTAATCAGACTATTTTTTTTTCACTTTTTTTTTTGCGTTCTTTTTCTTTTCTTGTACATCATTACACATTGTTCATATATATAGATTGGTGACAAAAGAAGAAAATTGTCTGACTATCGAAGGAAAAAAAGGGCAAAAGAAGAAAAAAAAAAGATTGCATCAATATTTTATGCTTTTCCGAGTGACGTTCTGCTCGTTTCTATCTATTACTACTACTACTACTATTATTATACATCCAAATGAATGTTCGTCCTGTGTTCAGATGGAGCGACGGCGCCGAGATTTTTTTTCCTTGGTCCTCATCATTCTTTTTTTTTTCTCTTTTTTCCTTCTTTTTCCGTCGTCTTCATCAACTATTTTTTTTTGCGTGTCTTATATGCTAACTCTTCATCATCTCAGCGTGCGTTCGACATAGTTTAATGATTATGTGACAAGCATCATACGTCTTTTTGTAAATTTTAATGATGAACGACGAGCATACCACCAGTAATATTTTTGAACAAATTCAAAAGTTAGTACCAGGTGTAAATCAATGTAAAAATGAACTTGAATATATTCAATGTATTTCAAATTATATTCTTCATTTACAATCTCAACTGATCAGAAAACCGCATAATAAACGAGATATATTACGATCTCTTGATTTCAATCAACAATCACCATAATTAATTCATTTATTGTTTCGATATTCTTATAACAGTAAATCAATGCATAATTTTAAACAATCGAATTTTGTTTTTCCGAGCTTTATCAATGTATATTATTGGAACAGTTTTTCTTTTTGTTCTCACTAATAAAGAATTCATTCCGTAAATAAATTTTATTCTTAATATTATATTTTTTGTATTATTTAGGAATGGAAAAAATAATCATAATTTATAAAATTAAACTTCCGTTGATTTATAATGATTATTATTAGTTTATGCTTGTTTTTTTAGCATGGAAAAAACTAGAAATTAATCATTGAGGCGTGCAAAATTTATGAAATGAAAGATTGTCAAAAATAACATGACTCGTTCAAATCTGTCTAGTAATGTTATTCATATGTAGTTGTCCTGATTTTCATAAAATATGCATATTTATCAGGCACAGAATTTATATTGATCAAAAATAATATTATGTTATGTAAATATTCGTCGTTTAGAAAACGATATGATTTGATAAACAAACTAATTAGCTATATAACCGATTCGAGATAGAATAACGTTTTTTTGACATCAAGATTTTCTGACCTATGTGAATATTTATATAAATTTTTCAAAATCGATATAAGAACATTGAAAAATTTTTTTCAAATCTGATTATTACTTATACGTTAAGAATTATTCAACTATATATATGTATTTTAACCTTGAATGGTGTGGTCAAGTGCTCTGCGGTTATATGTGAATGATCAACTACTATCGAAATTTTGAAGAAAAGAAAGTCGGACAAAATTCTTATAAGTTTTTAACCAAGACGGCTAGATTATTACGACCTTCATTATTCGAGAGAAGGTATTAGTAACATTCTTCGATCCCTTCTTTCGAATAATGAATGTCGCAATACTCTAGTGATTTTGGTTAAAAAGCTATTAACATTTTGCCTGACTGCCTTTTTCTTAAATTTCCGATAATAGTTATATTTTTTGGAACAATCAATATTATAATGATGTTTATACTATAAAAGTTATAAAACGACGTAGAATGAGATTTTAATTAAAAAAGTAACCGATTTCTTTTGTAAATAAAATGTATTCTTTGTTACATTAAATATTCGTTGATTATTCTTATCTTTAAAGGATATGATATAAAAAATTTATATTCCAAAAAACCAAAGACGTAATAAGTTTTAGATTCATCAATTTTTGTAATGTATATTTAATTAGCCTTTAGACAATAGAAACGTTGAGAGTGAACGTTTTCTTTCTATTTATAAAATAATGGAGTTTTAGATCGATACACGTTAACCCTAGATTGAAGAGAAAAATTAGTGACACGCACGCACATATATATATATATATATATTTATTATGTCGTCGAATACAAATAACAAAAAACAATTATAATACAGTCACGAAATTCATGACAATATTTTTTTCCTATGAACTATTCAACATTGGAAATACGTCATCATCAAGTTAGAAAATATATAGAGTGAGAAGTAATAGAATGTCAATACTAATATTAATTACGTCAGAATATTTTATATTCTCTTGAACATCTTTAGATATATCTATAGAAATGATACATTAAAAATTTTTTATTTAATTAGCTGTTGTTGTTTCATCTTAAATAAGTGTATTATCTGTTATCAAAATCTATAAATATTCTCATCCATCTTTTTAATCTTATTTTTTTGTTCATCATTCAAAGATAGAATGAAAGAAATAAAAAGAGAAAAAAAAGACGGAAACTGATGGCAATACTATGAAGGGTTCTTCCTTTTTCTACATATATATATATTTCTCTCTTTTTGCATTGCATGTGATAAAAAGAAATAGGAATAGGACATAGCAAGTAACGTTTGTAGAAGATTGTTGACATTAAGAATAAGAGCGTATACGAAGATAAGCTCGATCAACTATCAGTTTTTCGTTCCTTATTTCCCTTATTTATCTCTAACAATTCATTGAAGATATTATCAAGAGTATATATATATATATATATACGTATATATTTATAAAGACTTCAACATCATATTTACTCATTATTTTGTTTTTCTTAATCGCTATCGGCGAAACTATGATACGATTAGCGACCGACAGCCGATCAAACTTCCTATTAATCATTGATCACAACTACTCCGACAAAACTATATGAATGCTTGAAAAATATGAACGAACAACAACGAGATCAAATGATAGAAAATAGTACAAAGTTTACTTCTGTTATTCTTTCATCTTTATCACACAATTTAACTTCATCAACATCATCATCATCAACACCAATACGTGCACGAACAATGGTTAGTACAATGTATATAGCAGGTATTGCTTTTATGGTTGGTGTCTTCCTTATCTTACTCTGGGTAAATTTATTCAGTCGACATTGTTGGTGTTGGCATGATACATCTGTCGGTAATAGATTTAATCGTCAATGGTTAATAAAACGTTCTATGACAGGACGTAATGATAGTTCATCACCAAAACCTCGAAATCAGGAAAAACCATCTAATGAAAATGAACTTGAGTGACGTTTTTCCTTGCCAAAATGCCGGATATTCATAATTTCATATGAGACAGTAAAATTGAAGTTCGTCGTCAATCACCGGTACACTATTATCATTTATGTTTTCATCCATAATTAAACTTTATATGAATATTTTTATAAGTGTCTACAAAAATTCCTATTAAAAACAATGGACAAAAATTTTACACGCATAACACGAATTATTTTGTTAACTAATATTAGTTTTATGTTACACGTTTTTTTTCTTGTTAATAGTTTTCTGTTTAAAGTTCAATGATACAAAATATGACTGTTGTAAACATATTATAGATAGAAGCAAAAAAAAATATTTTTATTTCGAAAATCAATAATTAAATGATAACGTCGATATTTTATATTGATTACAATTTTTCTTCATGCAACAAATTCAAAATGATGATCTGTACGATTCATGATTGTAATTGAATATGAAGAATTGTTCATTTCTAATGTCAGAACGTAAAAATTTTACATTTATATTTAATGTACATTCAATATGACTTATACATTCATTATTCTCCTAGGGGAGTCTAACATTTAACAAACGATGTACACAATGTAACATGAAAGTGTGAATTCGATGACATTACTCTTGAGACTAATATATTGTCATCATATATTTAATAAATAACGTCAAACGAAAAGTCATTTTATATATTCTCTAGCTATCTTGAATACACATTTCATTAGAAATTAATTCTCGATTATTGAACAAGAATTGGTTAAGTCATGTAATATCATTTAAAAAAAAGTACTCAGACAAACGTTGCACTGTGTAACGAGCAATTAAAAGAACTCAAAAGTTCTGTGAATACTATTAGTTGAGTAATAATATAAAGTATAGAGCATTTTTGTGAATTTCTATCACGATCTTCTGTATACTTTATTCAATAATTATTTATCAAAATAACTCGGCATTGGTTATACAATTAATAAATTTGATTATGTGTATTAACTTTAAAATATTTTATTAGTCTCATATCAATATTCGAAAGATATGTACTGTTTTATCATTAACCTTGTATTCTCTGTTCAAAAAATATAATTACATCTTATGAAAATTTCTTTTTTCTAATCAGATCATCAAATCAAAAGTTATCTGTATGATAAATCTTCATTCAATGACGCAATTGAATAGATTCATCATAAGTCTTTTTTTCCTGCTTTATCAAGCTAAACTATAATTTCGAAGTTCATTACTCATTTGCACACCAGCACAAAATGAACACTAACGAACAATACAGCAATCATTATATGCATCACCCTAATTATATAAAAGATATGAAATATATGCATATGATATCAACAATAAATTGAACTCGAATTTTCATTCGATACACACTAAGTATATTTGGTACACACCAACATGATATGCATGGCTCATTTATTTTATTACTTAATGATGTAAGAAAACAAAAATAAGCATAACAACCCACAAAAAAAGAACTCCAAGTACTTTTTTCTTTAATAATATACATCTTCTCAACTCACACTGACTCATATCTTCGCAACAATTACATAAACCTGCTGACCATTCATTATCAAACTGACTAAATGAATCAACTACAGATTGACCATTATCATATGCCATTGAAACCATAATATTTTTTTTTCGAAATATTACAGTATTATAAACATAAAATAGTTTATGTATAAGGATTATTCGCTTTTAATATTTTTTCCCGTTTAAAATCTGTTTTAATTAGTAACTATCTAAGTATGTATTTCCTTTTTCCTTTTTTTCTTCTATTCTTTTCTTTTAATTTCTTTGTCAATAAAACTAAGTAAAAATGATGATGTAAAAGAATAACTGTGTGTGTTAGACGTTTGAAAAGTAAAAGTAGAACTAAAACTTAATATCTATTAATGTATCAAGCGTATATTTTTTTTCTCTCTCGTTCTCTTTCTTTTTTTTGATGCGAACAGTTTTTTCTTTTTTTTGTTAAAAAGGTTCTTTAAATAGATTGTTGAATAATCAAATTCATAGAAGATAAACAAAACAGAAGGAGAATAGAAAGAAAAAAAAACAGAAAAAATGTTTTTTTTCATGTAAAATTTCTATCTAACAAAAAAAATTTCTAATAGTGATGAGAAACAGATGTTAAAGTTATATTCATTTTTTTTCTTTTTACACAATTATTAGTAAGTGTATTCGAATATCAAGGAACAAAAACCAATGCATTCAGTTTATTCAAGCGTATCCAACTCTTTCTGTTCTAAATACGTACGTACGCATGCTTATATAGAGAGTATAGTTTTTAAGGTAGAATAGTCGCTGTAATGATAAAAAATATTATACAAAACAAAAAAGTTTATTGCAAGCGTTTACTTAACAACCTAATCTTTAGTCAATATTCAAGTAAAAATCATCTGTCTGAATTTTCTAAGTTTAAGTTAATTATTATTTATTTTGATTTTTTAGTATCAAAATGAACAAAATTTCCATCTATTCATGACATTAAATAACTATGAATATATAGTATGTAAGCTTTTTTTTATACGAAGTTATTTATCTAAGCTGACCTAGATAAAAATAAGATTCTTAAGTATCAGTAAATAGACAGAACATTTGACGATATATGTGATATACTACTGTATGACGTTGCAAATATATATCATAAGAAAAATTGCTTCTAAAATTACCACTTTATATAATTATTACTAATGATATGCATGCTAGTTTTTTTTAAGTGTTAGTAAAGAACAACTGAGATCTTTTCTTAACGTCTGTTTGTTTTTAAATATTTTATATAAAGAGAAAAACCATGAAATAAACTACATTTTATGTTAAAACCACCTTGAAAAATAAATAAATAAATTATATCCGAAAAACGTTGCAATTTCGTTTTTCTTTTACTTTGTATACAGAAAACTATGCTAATTTATTTTCTTATGTGTTTTATATCAATGTATATTAGTTCGTAAGTTCTATCCTTGCAAATCCCTATTTGTTGATATAATTGGCATAATACAGTAAGTTGAGAATTTTTTTACATTACTAAAAGATCCGATAAGATTAAATTCTATTTAGCTTTATGGCTTTTTTACCGCTTATTTTCTTCTCCATTAATAAACGCTTCTTTTTTTTGTTCTCCATTAATAAACGCTTTTTTTTTGTTCTATATTCTCGAACTTCTTTTTCCTATTTATTTAGTTACGAATATTTAACTGCTCTATAAAATTACACGTGTGTTCTCTCCGTTCGAATAAAGTATATATACATAAGATTACATTCCAGGACATTGTATCGTATATAAATATCTACCGAGGTCTATAATAACAGTTTTATCGTTATTAGAGTTGATGGATTTTTCTCAAATCTTTGCTTTTTTTCGAGTTTTAGATGTTTTCTGTTTCACCTGTTTGTTGATGTATTTCGTAAAACGTGTTAACAATATTTTTCTTCTGTTTACCATTTCAAATGGCAACATTTTTTCATTCATATGTGCATGTATGTTCTTATAAAATCTACAAGTATTTTCAAATCACTTAAAACTTTTTGTAAGTCTTTTTAATTCGTCGATAAATAGGAATATATCTTTTAGTACATATTCTTGTGCTAGAAAAATAGAATCAATTACTCTACTATATTTTTTTAAAATTCAAAAAAAAAGTACTCCTGAAGGTCTTATCATACTCTGAAAAAGCATTTACTGATTTTGGTGCAACTTTTAGAGTTTGTAGAATTTTTAATTTTAAAGATTTCGTTAAAACATAATTTGGGAAATACATTTCTTAGAATACCTGAAGCATTAAAAACCGCATGATTGTTATAATGTGTTTTATCTTGCCATATGGTAGGGAATTTTTTTTTAGTAATTATACTTACGGACACAAATTTATAATTGCAGTTCATAGGTATATTTAGATTCTTCATAATCTGTTGCATCTACTCACATCAAACGTAACCTTTAAAAGCCGAAAGGAGTTTTCTTGACTTTGAGAAGAAACAGACTATTAGAATACAGCTTTTGGACCTTTAGTATGATTAGAGAATAGTTTTAAAAAATACGTCTTTCTTCTTATGGAGATACAGAATGTCCCTTCGAAGGGATATTCGACCTTAATATATAATATATTAATTGAATAACTGTTCTTAGTAATTTTTTACAATAGAAAGGGTGTGGATGGGGCGAATATGTCATCACAACTAGGGATAACACACTTATGCGCATTATAGTTTTCTCTAACGGTTTCTGTCGTTTTATAGAACGATAAGATATTTCATGCAGTTAAGACCGAATGTTCCTTGCAAGGGACATTCTGTTTATAATGTCATGGTGTACCGAAGATAGATATCAGGTGTTTGGAATAGTTTTATTCAACAACCTGACGTTCTATTTAGTATTATTAGTTCAAAAAAAGAAGAAAGAATTTACCTTGTATCTGTGAGTAAGTAAAATATTTTTTTGAAAAGCCTGTGGCATCGTCTGACAGTGATTCAACAGTGATTTATTTTTTATTGTATGATCTATCATACTGTCTTAGTCTGGAAAAATATCGACTTCTGAATAAAAACTTTTGATAAATTTACCAGATGTTTTATAAAAATTATACGTTTTTTAAATGTATCCTTGTAAGAATAAATACATTTCACAAATTGTTTTTTATCAAAATCAGTAAATGCTTTTTCAGAATATAATAGGACCTTCAGCAACTCTTTTCTTTTGAATTTTTACAAAAGAAAGAGATTTTCACCTTTCTTTTTTACACATTTTGTAACTTTGAAAATGTGCGACCTCACACATCTAGTACATTTTGTAGAGTAATGGATTTTCTACAAAATCCTATATATAGCTATCATCGTGAACTCTGTTTTTACGAACTTTTTTTTTAATACAAAATGGACAGAGGTGTGTTGACGTATATCTGAAAACAACATCATGAAGTTGTTAATAAAATCAAAATATATTATAGCCAAAATCTGATCTACATCCGAAGTTTTCAGAATAAGTGTAATGTATATAATTTTGTGTAACATAATTTATGACAAAATTGTGCTTGGTATTGTCATATTTATTAGTGAATTTTGAAATCTTCAATGTAAATATGAGAGAGATCCCACGGAAATACTGCTGTTTGACTTTTGAAACATGTATACGATGTGAAACAAAATCATTCATCAATAAAACTCACAGGATCTGCAGTCGAGGAAGGAGAGAATAATTAAAAACAAAGATTTTTTGAAAATTCTACGTCACAACGATAAAGTCTTATTAGTAGCATAACAGTGAACGCTAGAAATGAACTCAGATAAGAACGACTTTTGAGTATAAACAGTTATTTCCTTTTTATATGGTATGATTGTACATCTGTTCTTTATCTTCTAATGACTCTTTCCGTGATTATAAAAGTACTAAATCCTTTTATCCGCGTACATTGCCATACTCTATACTGATTATAAGAATTCTTGTATTATCAAAAATATTCTATAACAGGACGTTTCGGATGTGTAACTGCTACGAAACTATCAGTTTTTCTCGCGACTCGACGAAATACAATGAAATTTTTAGAGTAAAGTACCAGTGCGTATGTAAGCTCGATAGTGTAATTAAAAACAGATATCAGAATTTTTAATAGAAACTCGCAGACCATGCAAGGATAAAAATGCTCGAGTTTGAAAAAGAGAAAATAAGTGTACTATGGTCGTATAGTATTAAATTACTAATTCATTAGTGAAGAAATATACTTTTGTCATTAAAAAGTTTGCAAGGGAATGCATAATTTTATTCTAAGCACAGCGTTGCCGCGTAGAAATTAGTCACTTAAAATTGAATTTAACTTCTAAATATTTTACACTCTATCGAGAAATATTTTGTTTTATTTGATATCACTGCCATATCCTATTCTCATCGAGTTTTTACTATACCTCGAATTGAAATGCGGTTTTCTGAATTCCTTATTTTAAATTGTGTCTCATAATGTTCGATCGTAAAAGTCAAGAAAAAAAACATTCTCAAACTTCAATACGATTGAAAGTGTGAAAAGTATAAGAAGAACTACAGTGCAAACATTAAGTTTTAAGTCATATCTAATATGGATTGATGAATATAATTTATAGCAAAAAAATGTCAGCTGAATTGGAATTGATTAACATGCATAACTCTATTCTCGATTAAAGGTATTATCTTACGCACTACTAAATGTGAACTAATCGTTTCCTTCCGTTTATGAATCACGATGCCAAAATTATCTTTCTTACTTTTCGTTAAGTAAAGGCCGTGATTGAACATCGATACACAGTAAAATGAGATTTATACAAGTATTTGTAAGCATGGCTACATATAGCTCAAGCTTCATTATGCGTTGTTTCCAAGTATATACATTCAGTTATGAGTATGTATCCTATAAATAGAAGTCTTTTACACATACATTAATTTAAGTATGGCAAACTTTTTAATGTATTTGTAATTAACTGAATGTCTTATCAGATTTCTCCGAGCTCCTCACATAAAAAGGACCTCTGCGAGACCTATAATAATTCATTAAAGTTGTATTGTAAATTCGTTTATATTTTTGTACAGAAATGTATGATTATCTCTTGTAAAAACTTCTACTATTGAAACTTCCACATTTCTAATGAGGGATAACGTCCACAAGCTTTTACTTTTTGAATCAACTCTAGGTTTAAATTTATTCTACGAATGACATTTTACTTTTTCTTTACCGATAGACAAGTAAATATATTGTATAGTATTTACTTTTGTAAAGTAAATATATCGCGACAGTTTATGCGTCGTATTTAGAAAGTCAAATTAAATGTTGATCTATTTCGAAATCATATAGTTCGCAAGGTTTTTTTTCATTTATACACACGAAAAGAAGAACTTATATGATCAATAGAGAGAGAGATCATTTACATATTCACTGTATTAAGCTATGACTGATTATCGGTAAGACAGAATTATTTTTCAATATTGATTATATTTTAAATTCAATAAGTTGTAGTAGAAAACTTCAATCTATTTAATATTAATGTATTTATTTCCATGTGTATTCACCGATTGATAAATATTTTTGTTTGTTTGTATCATTGTACCGAAGCTCTTCTATTATATTAAATAGAATAAGTATCCAACTTTGTTTTTCTCTATTCTACATGTATTTTGCATTAGGAAAGAGAAAACAAAACAAAATTTCCATTTCTCCTTTTTTTTGTTCCTGAGTTTCTAAAGAATCTGAAATCTTTACAATATTTTATTTACATGAAAATGAGACTCTAAACAGTAAGATCATTTTTTAGTAGACCTAGATATCCGTCAGTTGTTAACAGCTGTTTCAAAACTCTGAAATATAGGTCAAAACAATAATAAATAAGTTATTCATAGCACAAACACAAAGATCTGAAACTAAAATAAAAGGATGGTACCCATGTTAATCGTTTGACAGGATGACACCATATATTTTGAAGAACCCAAAGAACAAAAACTATGAGAAACAAGTCACGCGATAGCAGCGCAAACTAAAATATTTCATATGTGGATTGTTTTAATGAGAAGCATCATGCAATGAAATAAATAGGGAAGACACAACATAAGGCTCATTATATATCACGTCCTGGTTAAGTACAAGAGAAACAGAAACGTTGTTTGTTACATTAAGTTAAATCTTGAAACATAGTAAAACTCATCAATAGATTTTATTACTTCGAATTTATGAATCATAATAATTCAATCACTAATCACAGCTTGATAAAAATAATGTAAGTGAGTTTTTTAATGATTTTCAAGTCGTGTCATTTTTAAATAGATTTAAACAGGAATATATACTTTGATGATTACATTCAATGAGAAATTTATAAATTTTTCTTGTTATGATGTGAATGCGGAAGCAAATTGTAGTCAACAAAATATTATTACATGCGATAGGATACTTTTCCCTTACGTAGGATATATTTCAAACCAAAAGAAATATTTGAAATGATATATATTACCTTAGAGAATATATTATTATTCATTTTATTATATGTTTTAGAAGTACCGAATATGTTCTTTTAGTGCAATCTTGTAGTGAGCAGTTGATAATTATTAATAATTCTTTTTGATTTAAATGAATTTAGAAGATATTTTTTGCTTAAATTTATTCAATCGATTAAATGTATTTTTTTTTTATTTAGTATGCTTCGGTCAAAATTTATTTTTAAAATATTAATTTTATCACTTGCACTTAATTCCGTATTTATTTTGTATCTACTTTTACAAAATACTCGTCATGACTTTATCAATCGAAGTAATAATTTTCATGACGTTAATGACTTTTATTCTTTGAATAGTAATAATTATTTTACCTCGACAAATGTCAAAATTATACCCATGCCAAAGTTTGTTCAAGTAGAACATTCAAAATGTTTATTTCTGTCGAACGATTTTTCAATAACATCAAATCAAAAACCATCTAAATATCTAGAATTAGCTCTTAATCGTTATTCAAAATATATCTCATCACTTACAACACTTTCAATAAAAGTTCATCAAAATTTACCACCATCAAAAAATACATTGACTATTGATTGTTCATCAAGTAATTCAGGTGAAGATACTTATCCGACACTTGGTGAAGACGAATCATATATACTGAATATTACAGAAACAGGATCATATTTATCTGGACCAACATTAACAGGTCTTATTCGTGGTTTATCAACATTTGTTCAACTAATCGAAAGAGATACATCATCACATAAAAATTACATTCCATGCGTAAATATTGTTGATCGACCACGATTTCCATGGCGAGGTTTATCACTTGATGTGTCTCGTCATTGGATGCCTGTAAATGTGGTTGAACGAACATTAAATGCAATGGAATTGGGTAAACTTAATGTTCTTCATTTACATTTATCAGACGATCAAGGTTTTCGTGTTGAAAGTATTGAACATAATTTATTACATGATCGAAAAGATTTTTTTACTCAAAAAGATATTCGACATCTTGTTGAATTTGCTAAACAAAGACGTATCCGTATTGTACCTGAATTTGATATTCCTGGGCATACAACAAGGTAATAATTCTTAGGCTAAGAAAAACATATTTTAAATATCTTTTTTAGTTGGTTTGTTGGTTATCCAGAATTAGCGACTGAGCCACGTCCGCATCAAGTTGAAATTCGATGGGGTGTACTGAAACCTACAATGGATCCAACTAAAGATAGTACATATGAATTTCTTGATAGTTTTTTTCGAGAAATGACAGCATTATTTCCTGATGAATATTTTCATATTGGTGGTGATGAAGTTGAAGGTTCTCAATGGATGCAATCTTTAGCAATTAATACTTTTATTAATAAACACAGACTTGGAGATAAAAATGGTTTACAAGCTTATTTTAATAAACGTATACAAAAAATGCTTCGTAAATATAATAAAAAACTGATAGGATGGGAAGAAATTCTTGATGAGTTTCGAGAAAATTTAGCAATTGATAAAGATGCTATTATACAATCGTGGAAAAGTCGAAAATCACTTGCGAATGCAATAGAAAAAGGTTATAAAGGTTTACTTTCTACTGGTTATTATCTTGATCATCTTCAACCAGCAACATATCATTATAGAATTGATCCAATTTTAAATGATGAATTATGGTTATTTAATGAAGAACAATTAAGTCATGTTTTAGGTGGAGAAGCATGTATGTGGAATGAATATGCTTCGCAAGATACTGTGGATTCTCGTTTATGGCCTCGTATTCTTGCTATTGCTGAACGTTTTTGGTCTCCATCATCGATAAATAATCCTGATTTTCTTTACGAACGTCTCTTTCGAATGAGTCATTTACTTGATAAAATGAACACAGGTGTTATACATTTTTCATCCTATAAACTTAAATTAGAAAAATTACTTGCTAATACTGATAAAAAAAAAGATCTTCTACATCCATTTATAATCTTAGCTGATGTTTGTGAACCATATGGTTTTGAACAACGTAGTCAAAGTAATAAATATACCGCACTTGTACCATTAACAACATTTACTGATGCCTTACAGCCTGAAAGTGAACTTGTTTGGAAATTAGAAAATCTTCCATTTAATGATAAAATGTTTCGTGATATTTTTCAAAGATGGTCGCTCAATGATATACGTTTACGAGAATTATTTGATGATGTTGAAATAGCTAATAGTAAACGATTATGGGGACAAGATATTGGACAATTATCAAAAAATCTTGCTACTATTGGTAAAATTGGTTTACAAGTATTAAACTATGGTGCAAAAAGAATATTACATCCTAATGCAAATGACTCCATGAATTCTTGGCCAATATCACAATGGATGGGATATCATAATCAAATGTTATATCAATTAGAGAATCAAGTTAATGAAGTACGATTAGCTGCTGTAAGACCAGTTCGACGTTTACTTAATTCAATTAAAATATTCACTTAATATTTTTTGTTTGTTTTCGTTTTTTTTTATTCTATTTTTGTTACAAAACTACATCAAAATAAATAAATATTGACCAGTTTAATTAAATAACATTTGTGTTCGCGTTATAATAAATGCTAGAGGGTGTATGTCAAGATATAACCATCAATGTCTTATCATCATCACTGTCAATCGTTTTTTTTTTCTTGACATAGATTATCCTTGAATAGTGGAATCTAGCAATCGTTCTCAATGATCAAAGAGAAGAAGAAGAAAAAATAAAGAACGTCGTTCAACTTCTCATCTTTTTTATAAGTGTCAACATCATTTATCGTCTTATTTAGTGATTATATCAGTCTGCATACATTCGATAAAGAATATAACTACATCAGGCAACTACAAAAAAGAAATGGATTTAATGTGTTTCGTATTCAAGTAGAGTAAACAGGGCCTGCTGTTGGCGGTTCTAGTTTATATGCATACAGAATACAATCATCATATATTCTACTGTGGAAATGATTTAATCATGCGGAGAAAATCTTTACAAAAACTATACTAACTAGTTACTAATTCAATATCGAGCTTCATTTAACGTGCATTGCCAATCGTATTTACATTTGAAAGATAGCATAAACGAGTAAGAAAAAGAAAAAGTTGAAGTGAAACGGTATATTTACATTTCATATAACAGATTATTTCCTAAGCTGATCTAATTAATATATATAACGTCATGTTTAGATTTTCTTTTATGATTATCAATACTATCTTTATATATTAGGAAAAAAAAAGAATGTTTTTGTAATTTCTTGATTTTTTTATTAGGAAACAACATCTCGGGATTGCAATCTTCTTTTATATTACAATGAACAAATATAATAAAATAAAGGATTGAAGTCTACTCTAAAAGTCTATTAATGACATTTGTCGACACATGCGATTTTTATAGTAGTTGTCATCAATTTATTCTGACGGGTCTATCTATATCATCTACAAGAACTCACTTTTTCTCTCTTCTTACACATGCAAGCTAATCTTATTTTGACGATTAATGAAAAAAGAGGGAAAACTGTCTTTTTTTTCTATAGAAATAAATGTCAATCTGAAAAGTTTATTATAATTTTAACATTCTTTATTTTTAAACACCTTCCGGCTATTGAACTTTATTATTTAATTTTAAATGTCATGGAGTACATATCAGATAATATAATTATCATAATTCTATTGTATTATACGTTCTCTTTCAATGAGATTTTTAATCTTCGATAACTTTCGAATCGATCGAGAAAGAAATTTTGTTGGTTTCGTTGTGCTATGAATCATAGACGAAATAAAAAAATACAAAAAGGACATTGAAAAAGAAAAAAGAGCAAATGAGAAAAAAGAAAGAAGAGAAAAAATAAAGTAATGGTAACTTGCCTACACATATAGTTGAGTGCTTTAATGTTGAAGATCGAGCAATTTCCCGAAAAAGTCAATGCTTTTTACTATTCCCTCCTACCCTACGGACATTATTTTATATATATACAATACCCATCACCTTTTCGAACTTCAATGATTCGTGACGATCTTGTCATCTTTAAAAATTAGTATTTAAATGACTTATGATATATAACCAGTTTCTTGTATCAAGAAACAAGACATTTTTTTTTTGTTTTCTCATGATTTCCGGTTATGAAACACTGAAATGATTATATTAGTTTATATTTAGTCTATCATGTTTTTTTTGTTCCTTTAAATGCTCAATCAATCGTTCTCATCGTTATTGTCGATAAGTATATTTCTCTCTCTCCCTTTTTTTACATATTTATTCTTTTTTTTGCTTCTATACTCTCTCTCTGTCTCCTTTTCGCGTCCTTATAGTTAATCCAAAAAAGTGTATGAAAGAAAAATAAATCATTTTTCTCTTTTTGTATAGATCTCCTTGTCTACTTAGTATTTTATGCTCATCAACATTGATAACCTTTCTGATTAAATTCAGTTATGTAAAAGATTTGTAATTCAATCGAAGGATGTCTGTAAGTATTAGATTAGTACTCTATAGATACGAAATTATTACGATTAATTTTGTTTCTTTTGTTTGCAATATCTTGATATTGTTTGCCGTTACATTCTTCATGCTTTTATGAATATAAATTACCTTCAAAAATGTGTAGTAGATTCGTATGTTATGCATGACGAATAAACTTGATCAATTCGCATGTTTTGTCTGCACAAACAATCCATATTCGACCTTCGTTTATATATATTTATAGAACATAAAAAGCCGAGAAATTTTAACGATAAGCAAATTCGAAATGAAAGCAGAAATTTTCAATTTACTATGTTATTGTAAACAAATGCATAGAATGCGATAGAATATTTGATTCCGTATGAAAAAAAAAGAAATTCTTATTTTCTAGATTTAAAAATAGAATATCTATGTCTAATGGATAATACATCCTATGGGAGTACAAGACATTTATTTCCTTTCTGTGACATTTAATGATTCGATCATTAATTTTGTTTTTTTTTTATACACGTGAAAAACTCAAAGAAGTAATGATCGGTAAAGTAATTCATATAATTTTGTTTTTTCGTTATCTATTTAAAATAAAAAAAGAAGAAATATTTCAATGCATTTATATTATAAGGCATTTTAAGAGAAAAAACTCTTTTTGTTTTTTTTAATAGCATAAATTTTGAAGTGATACTTCATCTAACACTTTTATATCATAATGTGTCGATCATTTTATATTCATTATTGTTCATAACCGGTTTATTACATATAATTTAAATGAATGTATGAGTTGCAGTTGTTATTTATTTCAGGGTAAGTTGATGAAGAAGAGTTTCTTATTTTGTCATATAAATTTGTTTTTTCTTAGTTAAATATTGGTATTTCTTCAACATAGCAAATATTCACTATATTTATGTTTCTTTAAATTAAACAGTATTTTGTTGCATACTAATAATGAATATGTGCACATCATTAATCAAAATTATGCATAGTTTTAAGTTTTTTTTATCAAGATATATACTAGTTTTTTCGTTCTTTTTTGCTATGAGACATATTGTGATTAATGGACAGCCATGTTACGAAAAGGATCTGTCATGTATATAAAGTACAATAATAATAAAAAGAAGAAGAAAAAAAAAACCTAACAATGAAATGCTTAGGCTATACAGAGAATAGTATACGAGAAAAAAAAACGATTGAATTGAATAGTATGAAGGGGGAAAAGACGAAACATGTTAACGAGTATTGTATGTATGTATCCCATGGGAGTATTGTTAGCATATGTATGAAATAACTCGAGCTTTATCTATGCGTGACGAATTCCTTCCTTATATCGTATGTACATATTTATTTTTATTTGTTTATATTTACAATATTTGCACAAATTTATTGCGTAATAGAGAATAAAATACCTGAGAACGAGACAGCTTGTTTTTATTCATTGTTAGCATTTCAACAAAAAATTTGTATATGTGGGCAATCTGCGCACTCATTAACACATTTTGCTTTTTTTTCCTGTATATAAGCAGAGTATTAAATGTGATAATGTTGATAGGGTGACGTGGTTTTTTTTGTTTATAGTAGTTTTCATCACAATTGCCACTCATCACGTTCTATTTTCTCTTGCTTTCCGCCCATTTTTGTTTTGTTAATTATAATTTAGGTAATCGAATCGTGTTGGTATTTAATCTTATATGAGTAAAATAAGAGAGAACAAAGTAATAGATCAATTTCATCGATTGCTCTACCATAAATCAATTGTGTCGTATAATCGTTGTTGTTTTTTTTGTGATAACTCTACTGTAATTGTATAGAATACTATGATAAGAGAAGATTTATTCTTTCCTTCGTATTTTTTTTACATTAGTTTTGTCTTCGGATTGTACATAGCTATGATAGTTATCAGATACGCTGTATGGTCAGATCAATCAGACTATATTATTCATTTATATGCTTTGTAAAAAAATCATTCGATTTATTATAGAAGAAGATAAAGGAATTTGTTTATGTATTTTTGCTTTGATCAAAAACACTAAAGTAAGAGAATAAATCTTATTATTTTATCATTGTGATGAGTTAATTTTGATCTGTCTGTAATTGGCATGCAATGACACTTGATTCTTTTGCTTTTTCTATAAATATATTTATATGCATGCGAACTCATCGTAATAGGTGTAAGTTAGAAGAGGAGAAAACGGTTTTTTTCTTCTTTTTATCAACTACGTATCTTCTTCCCCTATCCATCTTTCAAGATAATCTATTATTATGAAAGACAAAAAGAAGAAGAAGAAGAAGCAATGTATAGATTAGTATTTCCATTTTGAAAAAAAACGGAGGCTTAGATTATTCCGTTGTTGTTAGTCTATAGATATAAATTCCTATTATCTTGAGAGAAAATGAGCATACGACGAATATATTTTATTTTTTAAGAATAAAAATATTTATGGACCACCTTCTGTGGTATGTTATGTGCAAGCCGCCCTCACTTTTTTCCTTCATCGGACGAGTGAAAATAGTAAACGAAGAAGAAGAAGAAGAAAAAAAAGAAGAAAAAAATTATTCGCAATCGAATTATTCTCCTAGAGAAAAAAAAACGAGAAAGAAACAAAGTAAACAGATGCACATAAAAAAACGCTGTGCTTTGTGTGTTTATTTCTATTTAGTGTACTGCATATCATATGCATAATTCGTTCTCTTGTTTTTTGTCTATTGGACATCACAAAAGTATTTCGTATTTTCGTCAGGCAACTAAGAAAAAAAAATATATGTATATATATTTAAGAGTATTCAAATAATCAAATCTTGAGAAGAATAATTAAAGAAAAGAAAATCGATTCTTTTTTTTTCTGCTCGAACAATGAGTGACGATTTAGAGTAGCTTCTGTCAATGTGATGACATTTGTTAGAATGACAGTCAATTGCAGTGTTGTTTGTTATTACTATTCTCATTTGACTTGTTTTCTTCGTCATCATTTAACAGGATTTTCTCTATTGGCATATGCCATTCTAACTCGTTATACACGAATATTTTCGGCACTTTATATTTACGTCATATTTTCAAGTAGCAATATTAACATTTCTATTTGTTATCATATATTATTTTTTTTATTATAGAGAAAATAGATTACATTATAATTTATTATTTAATATTAATCATATTTCATGGTCTAATAATCTAAAGTATTTTTTTTTTATTATAATAACAAATTAATGGAAAAAACCAATCACAATAATTCTCTTTTATTTATTACTGTAAATTCGTCGACATCATCATCATATTATAATAATACAAATGGGATACAATCATCAACATCTATTGATGATACAACAAGTAAATCTGAACATTTAAAAATTGTTGAAAATTTAACAACACATATAACACTTATTGTTTCTGTTATTGGTTTAATCGGTAATGCATGTACAATAGTTGTACTAAATAGACAATCAATGCGTAAATGGCGTTCGTCTATGTTATTGTCAGCATTAGCTGGTGTAGATTTTCTATATTTATCAATTATATTTTTATCGATTCTTGATACATTAACAAATCAAGCTATTGGTCTACATCGATCATTGATATTATGTCAAGCAACTGTTTATATAACGCATGTTTGTTCATTTTTGTCAGCGAATTTTACATTATCATTTACATTGCAACGTTTTGTTGCTGTACTTTTCCCATTACATGCAAATACAATAATATCAAGTCGTTCATCAATTATAAATATATTAATTTTAACAACATTTGGTTGTAGTTTTTATTCGTTTAGTTTTTTTGTAACAAACGTAAGACTTCAAGAATGTCGGGAAGATGAAAAACATCCAGCATTATTTCCATTATTAATTGTTGATACATGTTTTACATTTATTTTACCATTTATATTTATTCTTCTTTTTAATTGTGCAATAGTTTATAAATTACGAAATAGAAAGAAATTTGCAGATATTTTTGGTAAGTATTCAACTTTTTTAATCTTTGATTTTCTGTTATTATTATTATTACATATGACAATCGGAAGTTTCGAATGAAGAAAGATGACATTTAAGATTACTTGACAAACGGAAATTGATAATACTGTTATTCTATTATGTTTTCTCTATTTTTTTTCTTCAAAACATTATAAAAGAAGAAAGCGACATTCGAATCCTTGCGGTTTCGTTCTTCGAGTATATCATTTTTTTTTAAATATGATACTCTATTTCGTTGATAGAATAAGATTTTTTTTGTAAAAGGAATTAATGTATGTTACTGGTAGGATTTTAATTAATGATGAACTTGACAACATCATCAGCTATATATAAGATCGTAATATATAAAACAAAAATAGTAGAATAAAAACGAGTCCTATTATCTAATCAAAGTTCGAAGACTTATATCAAAACTGTCAACAATTATTTTGACAGTGTAAGTGGAGTTTATAGGAAATTTGCTTGTCATTCTCGGTAGAAAAAATAGATTGAATCTAATCATATACTTTTATATTATTACGTGGGAAGAGATGAATACATCTTGTTTTCTGTTATCTAGGAACTTCATTACCAACAACAGGTTCTCGTAATCAACGAACATCATCACCACTTCGTTTATCAAAAGTTGATTTATATCATGAACGTCAACGATTACATGAACAAAATACTAATAGCCATGATCATATTCCATTGAAAGATGAAAATTCAATGACAAATGGATTGCCCACATCAACACGTAAAATATCATCATCCTGTCTTGAATCAACAGTAACTGGTAATGATTATCTTAAACGTCTCTCTCATTCACGTGTATCAACATTAACAATGTCAAATGAATTATCACCTGTTTCATCATCAAATTCAAATAATCGACAAGCAATATCACAACGTACAACAAAAATGCTTGTCATATGTTCAACAACATTTCTTCTATTTAATTCTCCATATTGTGCTGTTTTACTTTATTCCATAATAACAAACCAAAATATGACACGTACACTTGGAATTTTAAGACATTTTTATTTTATGTCATTTTGTTTAAATTTTTTTCTTTATTCATTATGTGGAAATCGTTTTCGTCATGAACTGATTTTATTATTTAAAACATGTTGGTTAAAATGTTGTACACAAAATATTCGTTCACATTGGTTACGTATTGAAAAACTTCCACAACAATCAAGTTTTACACGTGTTACTCAAAGAGCAGGTGGTTAAGATGCTTTATTATTATTCTGCTTTGGCTTCGTTTTTTTCTTATAAAGAAAAGATTATAAATGAGTGTCTGTGTATGCGCGTGTATGTATGGTGATAATTTCTTTCTCTTTTTTCTCTCTTCTCCTTTTTTTGTATACATAATAAATACATGTATAAGTTAAATTATATATATATATACAATATAGATTCTTTTTCTTTTAATAACTCGTTGATAAATAATAGTTCAAATAACATGTCAGAATTTGCGATAACGATAGATAGGAATATTCCTTCATTTACAACGTGCATTTAAAGTATACAAAAAGAATGCGAATATTCGTCTACGTTTTTCTTCTATTGTTCTTCGAATCACAAGGTTTGAATAAAAAAATCTATATAATTAGTTTTATTTTTATATATTAATAGACATAAGTTCTGCTAGTTCAATTAACAAACAATGTGAGTGTCACAATTCCTAAGTTTCTATTAAAACTCAACTTTTAATTAGGTACATTTTTGGTAACTAAATATAAGTATATATCCAAAGCTGTTTTTCAACATGTACCTACTACGATAATTGATCAAACAGCATTAAATATAACAGCTGATGTGATTTATTATCAATCAACATCATTTTGTAATCAATCATTTATTAAAGTAATCAGTCTATGTATTGTTTAAAATATTCCGTTTTTTCTTTCAATTTGTCTCAGTTACAAAATTTGACTATTGAACCACTTCAACATGATAATATTCATCTGGATATAAAGCAATTTGAAAATGCAGTTTTCGAAATATTTCAAAAAACATTTGTCAGTGAAAATTTCCTTTGAATAAAGTTTGTAATTATTTCTTCTTTAAGAATCTATTACAAAATAGAACGGATGACGTCATCCTCTCGTCTGAAGATTATATTAATCAAACTAATCAATATCGTCGAATAAAAACAGTTCAAATAAATCATGGTCGATTTATAGGAAATTCTATATTTGCTGTAAGTTTATTGATTAAAAATAAGATTTTGTAAATTTTTCTTATCGTTAGAATTATTTTTTAAATAAACTTTTTTCTCCAACTAAAACAACATGTGAATTCGTATTAAATATCAATGAAGAAAAACTTCAACATAGTATTTGTGTATCACAAACTGCTGATCTTTTAACTATTGATCGACAAATTTATTTTCATAGTCAAATTGATAACCAAACATTTATTTTCCAAGATCAAAATTTAACGACAATTCAAATAAAACACAAGACAAAAGAAGATTTTGATACAATGCTAAAACAATTTTGTATAAATAATGAATTAATTTCTCAATATCAATTAATTCATATGATGAATAATGAACTTGGTGATGAAGATTTAAATAAAATACTTTTTCAAGATATTAATCAATATTCCAATTGTGAATGGTTAAAATCTTATCTTTAAAATATTTAATAATTTCTGTTTCTCTTTTCTTAGGACATTAATCAATCAGAGTATAATTGGAGTTAATCGTTATCAATCAACAGAATATATTTTAAAAAGTTTTTATCATGATGAATCAATACTTGAACGTCATTTTGATGTAATCGAAAGAAAACCTAATGATTATACAAGAGAAATTCTGAGAAAATATTTTAATAATTCTTGTGAAATATCAAATTTAATTACACTTCGTAAGATAATATTTATTTCACAAGATAATCTAACAATCCAATGTGGATTAAATCAAAATAATAATATCAAATATCGTTCTATAGCATTACGTATTCTTAATAATCCAAAAAAATTTCAAAATCAATTACAAAATTTATTAGAAAATGAACAAGAATCTCCTACTATACGTATAATTACCTTTCAAATCATTTATTCATTATTAAATTCATCACAAATCGATCATTACATTGAAACAGTTCAATCAAACCAATTACGGTTTTATATGAAATCTTTATTTAAACAAACTTCAATTTGGTCAGCACATTCAGGTTCATATAGTTTTCCATTTGGAAAATTAAATGTTGTATTTCAAGAAAATTTATCTTTATTTTTTCCAAATATACTACAATTCATACTTGCAAATAATACTGAAATTGATTTATATTTTGTAAGTTATAATCAATAGAAAATATATAATGATAATTGTTTTGTATGTTTAACAGGAACAAGAAATTTTAGTTATATTTGAAAGAAAATCAATAATACGTTTTTTAACAATTGATGATTTATTGAAATGGTTAAATAATGATCGATTATTTGAAACGAAAACACTTGATGGGTTTCGTTTAAAAATAAATTTAAAAACTGATTTTAATCTGAAATGGTTTACTGGGTATTTTTATCAATTTAAAAATTATTTTCGAAAGTAAGAATATTTTATATCAGACATACGAAGTATATATAGTAGGGAGCTGCGGGTCGACCCAACCGGGTATGGGTCTGGGTCGGGTTCAAAAAAACGTGGACCCGCAGCTGTTTAATAGACAGTACCGAATGAATGTAGGCTATTGCTGCAAAAAAATTCTCCTTGTAGAACAAACGGTGCTTACACTTATATTGGAGCATAATTTGAAATATTATTCTTATTGTAGGTCAACTGCTGGTATTGTTTTAAAAATCCAGCATGGATTAGATCATATTATGACTGGCTACGAAATAAATTTTAACCTTGAATCGAATTTTAAAATAAATATTGAACAATATCAAAATACAACTTCATATATCTGGCGTGCAATACAAAAAGAAAATATTCTTTTTAAAATACAGTAGGATTTTATTTTTCTATCACATAATCTTTCTTTTTGTGTATTTTACTCAAAGACCATCAATAAATCCATTAATAGGTAATAAACAAATTGCATCGAATATTTCTTCGTCCTCAAACACAAAAGATTTTTGTTATATTATTCCACATTTTGATTCGAAAATTTGTTTATCAATTATTTTTAAACGACTATGGCCAACATTTATTGCAGTAAGATATTCGAATCTTATAAAAAAAACTTTCACACATTTTTTTTTATTAGATTCGTTTACTTTCGGATGATCCAACACTTATCTATAATGTAACTTCATCGAATAATTTAATTTATTTTAATATTCAACATAATAAAAAAATATTTCAATCTTATCATCTTATACGAAAATATAATGAACATACATCAATGCCTTATTATATTGAATTTTCTACACCGATAACAAATTATACAACATTTATTGATTGGAAAAAACAAAATATAATTTCATTTAATTTCCTAAAAAATAATCAATCGATTACTAATGGTTCAGGTTTATATTCATATGATTTATCAAAGGGACTTTCAGTTAGTTTAACGGATATATATCCAAAACATATTGGAAATCTTACGATTGATTATAATGGAAATTTAACAATTAATGCATCGAGAATTTTAGGTGGAGAATTAATACTAAGAATAGATCGTTTATCGGATTGGAGTCATGGACGAATTGAAATGAAAGTTGAACGAGTATTTTTTTTCTTCAAACAAAACTTTTTATTCAATTTATATTATAATATTTATCAATCATCTTTCAATTTAACATTAATAAGAAATCAAAATAATAAAATACAATGCATATTTCTAAAGAATAAATCTGATTTACATTATTCATTCATTATTAATACATCTTTAATAGAATTGTATCATCACACTCAGGTAATTGGAATATACAAAAATCCACACTACTTATTTTTGTTGATATTTCGCGTTTTTAATGTGCCCAGGCACACATGATCTTTAAAAAAACGCGTAAAAACGCGTTCAAACAACGTATATATGGCGTTTTTACGGTAGACCATTGTAAAAACGTCATTTTTACGAATGCTTAACGCGTTTCTACGCAATTTTTCAGAAAGCGTTCTACTGCGTTAAAATTTACTCCGTAGTTACTCGCTGAAACGCGGAATTTAACGTGATTTTACACGTTATTTTATGAGTTTTAACGCGTTAAGCACACATTGTCGACACGTTAATCACAGTAGACAAAGTTAATGGAGATAAAAATCGTAAAAATGGGCGCTTTTCCGGATTTTATTTTCATTAAAATTTTAAAATTTCTACACGTATTTTTCCGTTTTTGTTTGGGTTTTATCTGTCTGGGTATTTGATCAAGCTAAAAAGACTTATATATTAGTTATTTATAGACGGCTCTGAGAATAAACATACAGGAAAAGCTTTCTTTGGTATTTTCTTTCCCGTGGTTATAATAAAAATCGAAACTAAATACAAATTAATGCAAACCGGGTCTGAACTTAAATCAAGATATGGGCCCGGATTCGGAATCGGTCGGGATCGGATCTGGAAAAATCTACAGCTCCGTACTTATGCATATTGTAGAAACAGCCCGAATTCTTAGATTATTTCTGTTGATATATAGTATTTTTTAACACAATGTCATGATCACTTTTATCAATACTGGAATAAGAATCGTTTTGAAATTTGAGATGAGAATGTTGGATTTGAGTTTATCAACAACCGCATGATAAAATAGAAAATATTCAGAACTTCCAGATTTATCTTTTGAGAATAAAAGAAACTAACTTCCTTAATTTTCTCTTAGTCAAAACGTCGACTTTGTGAGAACAAATCTATGGATCATATCTTTTGTTAGAGTACTTACTGTTCATTTAGAACGAAATAATATATCCAGCATTGGTCAAGGATACCTTTCCTCATCAGACCGATATCAATCATAAAATATTTTGATATAGTCTATATTTGATATGATTACATTAAGATAAACTATATTACTAGGTCCATTATAATGATTTATCAAATATTGGATTTCAATCTTCATCATTGATCAATGGGTGGTCTCTTTGGAATATTACTGTTCTTATGAATAATTTTCGACAAATTCAAATACAATTCAATCGATATTCATTTAATTTTCAAATTAATGATCGAATTATTCAATTGAAATTAAATTATTTAAATCAAAAACTTTTACGATCATATTTTCATATAAATCAATCGAATTTTATTACTACATCACTTGAAATACCTGGATATCATTATGAAAGTGAAGGAGAATTATTTGTTAATTATACAAATTTCTCTTTAAATTTACCAATAATTGAAACAATTCTTGAAAAAACTAAAAAGAAATCAAATATTTACTTAGAATTTTCTTCTCTTGAAAATAACCTCATTTTAAATATTACATCAAATTTTCGAAATGAATATTCATTTAAATCTATTCATAATTTTACATTTCATTACAATTATTTCTATCAAATGAATATTCAACAATCTCTAACAATGACAAGATTAATCCATTATCAATTATTATCTTTTCATTTATTTACTCAATATATTAAAAATTCAACAATTCTTCAATTATCTAATGGATCTATTACTTTACCATCATTATTTTTTACTAAACCATTTTTATTTAATTACGAACGAGATGTCGAATTATTTATACAAATGTTCGAATGGGCAAATCTAACACGAACTTCAACAAGTTACAATATCTCTACAATATTTGGTCTTCAATTATTAGCAATTCATGATTTCTCTACACGAATCTATATTCATTTCGAACAGATTATTTTAGGTAAACGTTATTTATTACTTTTTGAAATTGATCGTAATTGGATGATATCATTAATTATAAATAAAAAGATTCGATATGAATTTTTATCATCACCATTAAATTCTTTATTCTTACTAAAACGAATTAATTTAGATACAAATACAACTCTTACATTACCAATAAATTATCATACAGATAATCAAACATTAATAAGAATTGATATAGCATTTTCCAAATTTTTTTCCAAATTTATCAATGATTTTGTATTAGATATATCGTTAAAAAATCATAGTTTTATATTATATTGTCATATACCATTATTTAAACGAGAATTTTTTTCTTTAATATGGAATAGATATGTACATAAAGAATTATTTCATTTTCATGGTTTAATACAAACGAAATTTTTACGACGAAGACGTTTTATTGATTTTGATTATAATTGGAATTTAGCATCATTTCGATTTTGGACATTAAATTCTCATATAACAGTTTTTTCATTAGATCCTATTCAATTAAATTTAAATTTAACAAATGATTATTTATGGTATGGAAAATGGGCTATTGATTTTCGTATGATGTTATCGAATCGTCGAGAATTAATTCGACTTAATCATAAATATCATTATAGAACATTTATATCAAATTTATTATTTGATCTTTATCTTATGAATTCACATTATGATTTAGATTTTATTTATTATCATTTAAATCATTCTGTACAAGGTTTATTTATTAAAAATAAATATAAAAATGAAATTGATGGATATTGGAATGCAACAACAAATACACTTCAATTAAATACACAACATATGAAATCAGTTACAATAATTACATCTACATTTATTAAATCAATTATTGATAAATATCATCAAAAAATAGGAGTTCTTTTAGAACGTACTGAAGATTCGTTTACAAATGATACTCAAATATTAGAGGTATAAACATAATTAGTAGGGCATAAAAGAGAGAGACATTAAATCTTATCTTGTAAGATGGACCTACATAGGAAATTAGTTATTAAAATCGTTTCTTTTGAATCATAGCAATTATCTGATAGGCTAAAGCAAGAGGAGAAAAGTGGGTTGTACAGATCCTAGGATCGTTATGCTTATAGAGGATTCGCCTTCTCTCTAGAGTCCGGCAGGACCGGATTTTTCCATCCCGATCCTGACCGTCTCTCAGTCAAGAGAAACCCGTCCTGATCTCGGTCCTGGCGAAATATTTTTTCAGGATTTTCGATGCCGTTACCATTTTCTGTGAATACATTTCATCTAGACTTAAAATCCATTAATGTATTTACTCGGGATTCCGCAGTCCCTATCCCGTTTTTAACAGAGCTATCCGTCTCGATCCCATCCCGTCGGGATAAAAGTCGGAATTTTTATCCCGCTCTCGACGGGATACGGATCGGGACAGTCTCACCGAACCCTGCATCCCCCTCCTGGTCTAAATCATCATTCTTCTTGAAAATTTTCTAATCTATTAAGTTGAATTTTATACTCTAGTGTAATCCTTATTTTATAATTCATACACGTCCACGATTATTTATTATTCATTATTATACGTTGAATGATGGTTTATCAACAATGACGTTTGAATGGTTAACACGATCATATTTGTCTTGGAATTATACAGGTCATGGACAAACTATATTTCCTATAACTAAAATTGAAATAGATTTGCGTACAAAATATATATTTCATTTACATACAACAACATTTAAATATTCTTGTGTATATAATAATAATAAACATCAATTAATTCTTCGTCGACAACCGATTTCTGAATATGCAGATGATCATTATGAATTAAAACTAAAATATTATCATAATCGAACATTTTTAATACATCTTCAAGTAATAAATAATCATTATGAAATTATTGGCACTTCAAATTCTGATGATTTATTTTGGAAACTTCATGGATATTTTCGAAAAGATCAATTCAATGGTTCATTATTATTATCCAATAATGATTGGTATTTATCATCGAAATTAAATATTAATTCTTCATTATATATTTCAACTGGACAATATGTTCAATTAATTCCAACAATAAATCCTCAAATAGCTTTTGAAATATTTCTAAAATCATATTTTAATTTTGCTTTTCAATATGCAAATATACAGTCATTAATCGCTTTGAAATTTATTCATAATTCATCAGATATTAATTTATTTTTTTCATCAAAATCAATTAATGAAACAATGTTTAACATATCATTTCAATTAAATAATATAATTAATCAAAATTGGATACTTGAAATACATAACAAACGTTTTTATCTGTATAATGATAATTCCGAATTTATTTTCAATGGTAGTTTACAAGATTTTTCTTTTCAACATTTTATTGACAATAAAAAGATGAACTTCTTATTAAATGAAAATACAATCGAATTTTTAACACCTGGTTTTGGTTTAAGTTTTTCAAATTTTTCATCGGATACAAGTCGATATATATTTTTATATCATCGAGAAACAAAACAAAATTTAACAATTAATTATTATAAATCAGGAAGATTTCTTCGAGATAATTTGAATATTCAAACGCCTATATATGATATTAGTATAATTTATAATCCAACTGATAATGAAAATCAATATATAAAATTAATTTTCGAATTATTACCATTACAAATGTCATCATTTAATCTTGTTCGTGGTCGATCATTTCGAATAGGTTATCAGACTCAACAAAAACAAATGATTTTAGCTGGAAATCTTGCATTTAGTGTTGAAGATATTGATAATCAAGAGAAAATTTATATGAATGAACGTTGGAAATTAATTTATGGTTATGATAGAAGTGAAAAAATCTATATTAAATGGAATATAAATATCAATTCAAAAGAAAAAACTCTTCATGGTAAAATCAATATTGATGATCCAAATCAAGATATATCAATACCGATCTATAGTGATCTTAATGCACAGGTTAAAGATATGATGTTAATATTTAATATGAGTACTACTTATTCTTCATCGAAACCTATTCTTTTACAAATAAATATTGATCAAAGAATATTAACTCAACAATATATTTCATTAAAATTATTTCATGAATTATCAAAAACAAATTTAAGTTTAACAATGGATCATTATCCTCAGAGAAGATTACATATTCGTTTTAAACCAAATCATTTTTCTTCGGAAAAAACATATCTTCATTTATATGCAAATACAACTGAATCTCAAATAAAATTACTTGTTATACTTTGGAATTATATAAATTTAAATTTAACATTACCGAAATCATATCCGGAAACAGGTTTATTGCATTCCTCTTTATTTATCAATAATGAAGAATATTTTGATGGACGTTTTGATACAACAGCATTAAAATTACGATCAAAAAATTATTTATTTAATTTAACACTTAATCAACTTATTTTACAACAACGATATCATGACAATATTCTTGCATCTATTCTCACTAGATGGATTCAACGTAATTCATCAACGGCATTAGTTACAATTTTTAGTAAAACAGATTTTAAACAAGTGAAATTTGATCATAATTAATAAAATAATAGAAATATGTTTCTTTTGTTATTTAGAAATTAATTCCAATTTGGCAATCGAACCAACAACAAACTTGGTTAAACTGTTTTAAACAATTTCTATTTGAAAATAATTTAACATCACAATTTTCAAATGATATTCAAGAGTTTTCGAATTCTATTAAGAATGATTTTATTCATGCACATGAACAATCTGGTATACAATTAATGAATTATTTAAATTTTGATGACGATTTTAAATTAGGAATACAAAAACTTAATTATACGATAATGAATTTGACCGAAAGTTTATTTCAAATAGGTTTTGCTGGAGAAAATCTTTTACAAGAATATATGAATAAGTAAATCTATCCTTATTATTTTATTCGAAGAAATTCTTTCTTATCTTCTGTTTTAGTCTTACTTGTTTAATAAATCATCAAAATTTATTACATCTTGATATAGATCAATTAACTACATTACTAATCGATACATTTGCATATGAAACAGTGTCTTATATAAATAAAACATTAGTTATGTTTAATCATTTTACACATTATCCACGTTCAATGAATGCCATTATATCTTACATAAGCAATGAAATTATTGTTGAAATACATAAATTTATAAATGATTTTTATTTAGAAACAAAAAGATTTTGTCTATCAAAAATTATTCAATATTTATATGAATTAGATTTTGTATTAAAAATCTCTCCTCTCTTCTCAGATACAATAACATTTTTTGCTTCGAATGATATTCGTGAATTTATATTATTTTTTAATGATCGATTACGTCGATTATTATCTTTATGGTTACATTCGCCTATGGAATATAAATTAATGAAAACAATTGCAAGTCAATTAATAGAATTTATTGATAAACTTCGATTTTATATTGATGATAAACTTGATTTTCTTCTACCGACATTACAAATTTTTACTCCACGATTATCAATAAATGGTAGTAGTAATCAAACATTTTTATTAACTTGGTTAAAGCAATATAATATAACAAATATTATTGATGAACAATAAAAAGATTGTTGTTTATTTTAAATGTAATTTGTAGTTTGTTAAATAATAAATTGTTTTTCATAATTTCAATACATTAAGAATAGAATTAATCTAGATTTTCTTGGTTCCGGTAACACTAATTTTGTCTAATCAAAGGTAAATAATATGATAACGGTAATGATAACAAATATTCATATAAATCAAAACCTTTTCAATGCTAATATTGAAGATAGTTCATTTAATCTTTGCTTGAATTATACTTTCACTATATACGAGTTCGATTTATAAATAATCTCTGACATCCACTGTTAAAATATTCATGATGACACAGTATTATAAATATTCAAGTGCTGATAATCTTAATATCTTTTCAAAGATATATTATGAGCAATTCATTGTGTCAAATTTTCTTTTATTCAGATCATTGTAATCGAATGTCAATAAAATGTAATTCTTATGAAAACGTCTATCGTCGTAAAGATAGTTCTATCATGAAAATATATAGGATATGAATTGATAAAATTATCTGCATACAAAATATTCGAGAAGTTTTTCTTTTTTGAGTTTATAGAAGTGACAAAAATATTTTTGAATATAAACATAGAATCGAAATGCTTACTTCCTATGTTCTCTTTTCTACATTAAATCCAATGAACAACGTTTTAGAGAATTTGTAAATTAAATTATTCGTTTTTTCTCTCAAATAGACTATTAATAATAGCTTTAACCTACGAATTATTTACTTCGCTATGAAATATGCATGTCCATCGTTTTATGATTCAATTTAATATAGACAACCAATTTCATTTTAGTTTATACAGTAGCATATCGATTTATTTCATATGTCTCTTTCTTCTCTTTCTCCGGTCACCATCGAATTGTAGACTGTTCTAATACATTTTATGTGTCACATCACAAATAATTCTCGCGTCCTATGTGACGTCTCTATGTTCACTGTTCACTTCTATATTCAATACATATGAAATAGTAACTATATGTTCAATGTTAACTTTTACCTTATGATGCCCACTCTTTTTTTTTCTCTTGCGTTCTCTCTGACAGTAGTGTTGCACTTTTTTCTATTGAAACAGTATTTCTTGGTTGGTTACTCTCTCTATGCGACATTGGTCAGTTTGTATGTATGTGACAGGTAACAGGACATTGGATTGAAATGATGAATATAATGATTATATGCTTTGTAGTTTCCTATTTAACGATCTTGTGCAAGTTATAAAGAGAGAGAGAGGGAGAGAAAGAAGTAAAGAACGAAAAAGAATTGTTAAAAGAAAAAGAGCAAACTTGATATGGTATACAGTTTGTGATCATGCTTAATACAAGGACGATATTTACACCTTTCAATTGATAATTTAAACTATCAATGAACAATAATGAAGTCATGTATCATCGTTACACTATTGACATTTATTACTATTTGTCTATCAGGTAAAAATTGAATTAACATAGATTTGTGTATGTTATGTGATATTTGATATCATATATAAAACATGTAGTATAAGTAAACATCTGATAAAAATTTTATGTCTCTTGTAGACGGAAAAGAAGTATTAAAAACGAATGATATTAATCCAAAACAACGAACAAACTTACGTCAATCACTTGGTACTAATCTTGTTGATCCTTATTATGCATTTAATCCCGATTATATGGGTGGTAATATGCCAAATGTACAACTTTATCAAGGTAATATTGCCAGTGGTCTGTCAAGTTCATGCACATGCACGTGTGGTGATATGTCTTATGGGCCACCAGCATCATGTGCAGGTCCTCAAGCATGTGTAGCATATTGTTTACAAATGTATCCTGGTCAATGTACACTTGTGAATACATATGGTTGTTGTGGTTCATCTTGTCAATATTTTCAAGCTCAATCACTTGAAAATCGTTATTGTACATGTAATTGTGGTGGTCAACAATTTCTCAATCCAGTTAATACATGTATATCATCACAAGCATGTTTAACACGATGTCTAACGGATTTTCCTCAAGCATGTACAACAGCAACAACTCAAGCTTGTTGTGGACAGGATTGTCAATCATATTCACAAGCAGTTTCAAATGCATGTGCTTGTACATGTCAAGGAGCTAGTTATTATCCATCACCAACATGTACTACTCCTAACGGATGTATTAGTACATGTATGACGGTATGATAATTTCAATAATTATTTCATTTCTTTTTTTTTAAATTTTGTTTTGTAGACTTATGGTGATTGTACTGCTGGTCAAACGCAAGGTTGTTGTGGAGCATCATGTTCAACATTTGTACCAACATGTACATGTAATTGTGGTCTAGATTTTACAACAACAACTTCAATTCCTTGTCAAAGTGGTCGTACATGTTTAGAAACATGTATGAATTCTTATAGTGCATGTACACAAGATAATACTCAAGCATGTTGTGGTGTTGATTGTATTAATTCATTTCCATCATGTTCTTGTATGTGTGGTTCAAATCAATATACAACATTAGCATTATCTTGTGGTTCACCACAACAATGTGTACAAGCATGTTTACAATCAGTTGCTCAATGTAATGTCGCAAATACTCAAGGTTGTTGTGGAAGTGATTGTACAGGTTATATTCCAACATGTCGCTGTCAATGTGGTTCAAGTATTTATTATACAACATCAGTTTGTGTTAATGCTGAACAATGCACAAATACATGTATTAGTCAATTTGGTTTTGCTTGTACACCAACAAATACAATCGGTTGTTGTAATGGAACTATTTGTACAAAACGAAATCGGTTTCTAGGAGTTAACAAAGCTTCAACAACATTTCAATTATCATATATTATTATATTATTATCAATGAGTTATTTTTTAAAATTCATCTAAATTGATTTCTTTTCTTTTTTTGTATAGAGTGTTTTTTTCTGTATTAGAGTTTTTGTGAATAAATATAATAGAAGAATTTTTGCGAACGTGATAGACACAAAAAGAAATCTATTTAAGTTTTGTTACATAATAATATAAAATTGATGATAAATTTCCTCTGTAAACAAATTGTATTTGCTAACCAAAGTGTCGTAATTACAAATGAAAACAAATAAAAGTCATATAATATCTTTCTTTTTTATTACGAATAAGATATAACTAAAAGAAAGTATTGTCTATAAACTTTGTAATAATATGATGAAACAAGAAAATTTAAGTGTTAAAAACATTCTAGATTTATTACAAAATATTATTTAATATTCTGTTGGTATAGATAAGATAACGCTGACGAATTTAGCCCATTTTTACCTTCAAATAAACGAAAGACCAGGTAGAATACTTTTTTAATAAAACAGTTTAGTATATTATATTATTTCAAAGTCATCATTTAATCCCACGGGATAACATATCATTATAGCCGATTAAACAAAATATCAATCAATAATTCATAACTTAGTGACATCTATTTAATCTTTTAATTTGTATTATTTTTGGAATTATAGAACTCAAATAAAACTTTTTATATAGATTAGATTTTTTTCAGTGCACTATTCGTATATGAATTTTTACTACATAAAATGATGATTCATCGAGATATGTCAAGTCAGCAGTCAGTCGTAAATAGCTTCATACAGATAATTATTTTTACGTGTTTAATTTTATCAAAATGATTCAACTTTATTCTTATCATTCGAGAAGGTTTTCAAGATTTGCAAAAATTGAACTCAATACTCTTTTTTAATAATTTCGAAATAGAAGAAAACTTATTTTTATTCAATAATTATCTAAGTTTGAGACATTTATTCTGATCTATTTAATATAAAAAGTCGTTTTATCATCATTTTTGACCTAATTCGTTTAAAGAACAAATAAAAAAGCAAAGCATCTTGCATATTTTTTTTTCTTGTTGAGTATATGTCGCACTTTTCGTTATCTTTTTAGTTATCATATAATAAATAGAGGTTCTTATATACAAGCATTTTATAATAAACACTGATATATCTTCTTTTCAACACTTTAGATACACAATAACGACGAGTTTCTAACATGAAACTGTTAACTCTCTTGTGTGGTAAGTAAAATGAATTTATATAAGTTTTATTAACTGAATTTTTATATTTTTTAAAGCATGCGTATTAATCACTACTGGTACTTGGGCTTATTCCCGTGATTGTGCTAAAGGCCCAGAGTATTGGTGTCGAGATGCATCAACAGCCGAAGACTGTGGTGCTGTTCAACATTGTCAACAAACAGTATGGAATAAAAAAGAAAATCCAATAGCAACTAGTGATACAGCTCATATGTTATGTAATGTTCTTGCTCAAGCATCAAGTGAACTTTTAACTGACGGTTCAATAAATGTTAATTCGATTCAAGAATATCTTCGTGAAGATTGTAATAAATTACCAGCTGAAAACAATCTTATTCAACAAGTATGCGAAAATTAGATTTAATTCTTATTGTAAATAAATATTTTTTGTTTATTAGTGTCAAATGGCTGTTGATCTCTATCTTTCTGATATTCTTCGTCATATTGAAAGTGGCACTGTAAGATTTCAAAAATATCTTTTTGTTCCTATATTAATTTTATTTATTTTAAAAAGGAAACATCAAAAATCTGTTCCATTATTCAAGGACATGATACATCCAATGTTTTCATTCCAAAACCAAAACCATTGGATCTTACATCGAATACAACATGTGTTTTATGTGAATTTATTGTTCATATTCTTCAAACATTTGCCACTGCTAATGCATCAGCACAAGAACTTTCTCATATTCTTGAATATATCTGTCAAGAAATGCCATCAGTTTTACGTGATGAATGTAAACAATTTATTGAAGCATATGGTCCTGATATGATTGCTATTCTTGTTCGTGAATTTGATCCAGCTAAAACATGTGAACTTATTAAAGTTTGCCCAAAACCTAAAAATGTTGCCTTTTTAATTAAACCAAGTGTACAAACATGTGGCCTTTGTGATTATGTTTCGACATATTTATCTGCCGGTTATCCAAGTGAAAATGTTTGTAAACACTTCTCAACTGACAATAATATTAAACAACAATGTGAAGTTCTTGTTCATTTGTATAAACCAAATATTTGCTCACAATTACCTATATGTTTTGATGAACCAGTCATAACACCACTTGAACAATCAATTGAAACACCAATCAAATCTGCTGAATGTTCATTATGCAAATATGTTGTTAGCTATATTGATACTGTTGTTCAAAATAATAAATCCGAAGCAGCTATTGAAGCAGCACTTGAAAAAGTTTGTGGAATTTTACC